TATTTCTAGGAGAGAGAGAGAGACAGTGTGAGCAGGGGAGGGTCAGAAAGAGAGGGAGACACAGAATCTGAAACAGGCTCCAGGCTCTGAGCTGGCAGTCAGCACAGAGCCCGACGCGGGGCTCGAACCCACGAACTGCGAGATCATGACCTAAGCGAAAGCCGGACGCTTAACCGACTAAGCCACCCAGGCGCCCCATTTTAGGATTAGTTTTTATGTGAATCTTAGTGCACATTCTAAGTCTTTAAAGAGTCACATGTAACTAGAAAACATACAGACTTTATTTCTTTAAATTAGCATCCTACTTTTCAAATTTGGGTCTAGTGAAATACGTGTAGAGAATGAGAAGAATATAATTTGATTTTTTAATAATTCTACACATGCACATGGCAAATACCGCTAGAATCCATTTGTTAGTCGTATACAGCCACATCATTAAATATTAACTTAGTATGTATTTACATATGTTCTTGTTCTTGTGTGTTCCGTTTTTAAAAAGTTTCTTTTTCCTTTTCTCGAGAATTTATAAGTCATTCTTGGCATCATCTATTCAGAAGAAGATTTGAAAAGAAAACAGTTCGGTAGTACCATTAAAAAGTAACCTTTTCCACAAATGGATGTATAGAGTTTAGAACAATTTTTTCATTCACGTATTTTAAACCTTCCTAAGAAAAAGTGGAAAACATCTTTCCCCTTTTACTGCTTTGTCTTCTTTCTCAAGGCACATTTCACAGTGGCAAGGGAGAAAGCTGTCAGTTTAAATCCTTCTTCCAGCTACTTCTTGACCATGTAGATCCTAATTCCCTGCCCTTATTTGACATGCATAGTCTCTCTCACGCGCATGTGCACACGTGGGAGTGCAAGCAAGTGTGCCGGCTGTTGAGTAATGAGCTAGGCTTTACCTTCTCCTCCCGTGAGTGTCTCTCTGTGGTCATGAACAGAAAGTTTCTTCTGGATTGTATTTGTTAAAAGCACTGAAAGAGAAAAAGTCCATTGTAGTTTCAACATAGTGCCTTTCCTTCTGGCTTTGGAGGGTTTTAGTTTTAATGGTCCCTATGGTCTGTTTAAGCAGATTTTTGTATTAATTAGTATAAAATACTTCACTTTATTAAAATCTAGTTAGCTCTATCTTAAATGTTCAGGTTTTAAGAATGCTTGTATTCTTCAACTAAGTATGTGTCTTTGTGTAACTTGGGTGAGAGTTTATTCGTTTAAAGAAAGTCTTGTTTCCAGCATAGGATTAAAGGTAGAAAGGTAGTATATGTATTGTATATAGTTTGTGGCTTGATGTATTGGAATTGATAATGAAGCTTTACTGTTTTGTATGTTTAAATTTAATTAATTTTGTTCTTCTAGTTTTTATGTTTTTGATGTATAAAATATTAAAACTCGTTTTCTACTTTTGATTTAGGTTCAACCTTAAAGTGCAATTGCAGATTCTAGCAAGCTTCATGCTCACGGGAGTTTCTGGAGGTGCAAAGTATGCTCAGAATGGACAACTTTTTGGTCGCTTTAAGCTTACTGAAACACTTTCTGAAGATACTTTGGCTGGACGGCTGGTGATGACCAAAGTCAATGCTGTTTATTTATTACCAGTCCCTAAAGAGAAGTTAGTACAGACCCAGGGAACCAAAGAGAAGGTTTATGAAGCTACTATTGAAGAAAAAACAAAAGAATATATATTTTTAAGGATATCCAGGGAATGCTGTGAAGAACTTAATCTTCGGCCTGATTATGACACACAGGTGTGTTTTGAAGCGGGACACCTTAACTGTGGCTGTCTTCATGTCCTTGTCAGCTGATACAATTCTGGTTTGGTTTCCATTCTTCTGCCGTAATTAGATGTGCAGTTGACTTTGAAGTGTTACAGTGGGGGTGGAGAATTGGACCTTTGGTAACTCAGAGAAAACCAATTCTCTTTAAGTAACATCTATAATGTTTTAGTCTTATATAAGAGCAAACCTTCCGATTAGACTTTTATTTTATATATGTATACATTTAAGTATATTTATTTATTTTGAGAGAGAGAGAGAGAGAGAATCCCGAGTAAGCTTTGCACTGTCAGTGTGTAGCGTGACTTGGGGCTTGAGCTTATGAACTGTGAGATCATGGCCTGAGCCGAAATGAAGAGTTGGATGCTTAATTGACTGAGCCACCAGGTTCCCTGAATTTTATTTTATGTGTTCCTTTTTTTAATGAATATTTTAATTTTACATAATCTCTACACCCAGTGTGGGGCTCTAACTCACAACCCTGAGATCAGGACTTCTGCACTCTGCCACCTAAGCCAGCCAGGCAAACCTAGAATTTTAAGTCAGCAGTAGAAGAACAGATAAAGGAAACTAAGCCACATCCAGGGACAGTTCTCATTTGAGGTTGTTTCTGCTCATGTTCTCTTTGTATGGTTTTTTAGGTGAACTGTGTGTTCACTCTGCCCTATTTAACTAGAAAGTTAATCTTCATTCATTCATTTTTTTTTTTTAAATTTAAGTAGGCTCCATGCCTAATGTGGAGCCCAACATGGGGCTTGAACTCAAGATTTTGACCTCAGGATCTGAGCTGAGATCAAGAGTCTGATGCTTAACCGCCTAAGCCACCAAGGCTCCCCTCTTTTTTTTTTTTTTTTTTTAACTGGAGAGAGAGAGAGAGAGAGAGAGAGAGAGAGAGAGAGAGAGACAGCGTGAGCAGGGGAGGGTCAGAGAGAGAAGGAGTCACAGACTGAAACAGGCTCCAGGCTCTGAGCTGGCAGTCAGCACACAGCCTGACGCGGGGCTCGAACCCACGAACCTCGAGATCATGACCTAAGCAAAAGTTGGACGCTTAACCGACTAAGTCACCCAGGCACCCCAGCTCCCCTCTTTTTAAAAATTTTCTTTCTTTCTTTTAAAACATAAAATTTGGTGAATGTTACTATTTGTAGTAAATTAATACAGTGTCCTATGCCTGATGTTTCACATATGGTCTACTGATTTTATCAAGTATATTAATAGGAACATGGTGGAATCAGATAACCTTTAATTAGATATTAATTCACAACCACTTCACTTTCTTTATATGTAAACTGATGTTAATGATATATACATCATTGGTAGTACTAAAAGATCATTTATGTAAAGTGCATATTATAATACCTAACACTAAGTAAACAAAGCAAATATTAGTCATAATAATTCTTATTAAAATCTGATTACACTTAAAAGAATTTCTAAACTTGGCTTCCCTTAAAGGTTATCTCCACAAAGCTTTCTAGCAAGGTGCAAGCGTTGATGTTTGTGTTAATGGTTCTTGTTTGTTTGTTTATGTTGTGTGTGTTTTTTTTTTTAATTTTATTTTCTGTTTCAGGTTGAACTTCAGTTTCAATTAAATCGATTACCCCTCTGTGAAATGCATTATGCTCTAGACAGGATCAAGGACAATGGAGTTTTATTTCCAGACATCACTATGACTCCAACCATACCTTGGAGTCCCAACAGGTAAATGGAGATGCTTCATTAAAGGAAGTTATGTTAATCTTACGTTGAATGTCTGTACCAACTAATGTCAATACAGTTTTTTGAGATAATTTGGTAAAATCTCCAGCAGCTATGTGTTAGTTGAGAAAGGAGAGTAAAAGAGCCCTTAGAAGGAAACACTTGAGGATGGTCATGTATTTTCTTCACTTTTTCTCAGTGTCTAAATGAGTTCTATTGTTGTGTCTCAATAACCTTAATTTGATAGAATGCCAAGCAGTTCAGGAATATTTCTGAGTAGAAGCTGAATGGGAAAATTAGAACCTTTTAAAAAGTGGTTCAAACAGTTAATTTAAAATGAGTTTTGAATATAGAAGACATTTTTATAATTTAAGAAAATTGAGGAAGTATCATAGAAGATAATATTTCTGAGACTGCTTTCAGGTTAATGGTTGTATAAATATTTTTCTGCTTAAATTCATTTTGGTGAATCGTCATAAGTATCTTTTTTGTTTTTAAGTTTATTTATTTATTTTGAGAGAGTGCGCACGAGAGAGTGCTGAAGGGGTAGAGAGAGAGGGAGAGAGAATCGTTCTGCAGGGGTAGAGAGAGAGGGAGAGAGAGAGAATCGTTCTGCAGGGGTAGAGAGAGACGGAGAATCCCAAGAAGACTCCGCACCATCAGCGCAGAGCCCGATGGAGGGCTCAGGTTCACAAATCCTGAGATCACGACCTAAGCCGAAACTGAGAGTTGAATGCTTAACCAGCTGAGCTACCCAGGTGCCCCTTTGTAAACACCTTTGTACCGATACTTCTAGTTTGTTTCCAGACGAACAGTGACAGCTGTGTGACTGCATCTTTCTCGGCGTCCCTGTCCTCCTGGTCCCTGCAGATACCCTACTCCTTCCACCTTCTTTTCCCTTTTCTGTTTTTTTTAATCTCTGTGGCTGTCCACAATAGAAGTGTCTGTATTTACCACTCACGTCCACCCAGTCGTGCCTGGGCGGGCCTGCTCCATCACTGACGGGGGCCCTGGTACCTTCGGTAAATGGTTTCCAAGCCCTCACCCTGCTGTTGACATCCAGCTGACAGGCAGGGCACGAATGAGCCCAGAGGATCGTGTGGGACAGTTTTATGGGCCGGGCCAAGGAGTGGCATATATCTCTTCCCCTCACGTTCCATTTCTTTCGATTCTAAAAAACAGAACAAAGCACACTATGCCTCACAACACAAAAATCAAGTTATTTCTCCCTTGTTTTGCTTACCTTTACTGTCCTTTCCCGTTCGTCTTTTTACTGCCAAAATTCTCAAGCAGAAGTAGTTTATGTATTTCTGCTTTTCTTCTATACTTATCCTGTGGTCTCTGTTTTCCACTTCCTCGCTCTCCTGAAAGTAATCGGTGATCTACTAATTGTAAAAATCCAGTCTTCTCAGATCCCGTTTGATCCATCTTCTCTCTATCCTTTCCCCCTCCGTCCGTTCTTACAGCCAGTGTGTAGTTTAGAGCTGGACTATGTCGGTAGCCTTCTCGTCAGCTTCCGTCCTGCGGTCTGCGTTTCCGTCCAGCCCACGTATTTCTCCCAGGTAGTTCGCTAAAATAATCATTTCATTTCACTGCTTACAAATCTCTGATGGCATCTCCCTGATATGTTGATAGTCTGAGCAGCTGAACACCAGCCCCTTAGTATGTGGGTCCATTGACAGGGCTTTCCAGTGGTAGCTTCAGATTTCTTTTTTTTTCTTTTTTTCTTTTTTTCCTGTTTGATCGCTCTTTTCTCCTTAGAAACCCCCATGTTCTAGTTGTATTGAATCACCTTGAAGTTTGTTTAATTGGCCCTAAGCTTAATTTCATACAAATAAAACAAAATTGTAAAATTTACATAACACAGAACTTACCCTCTAAACTATTCTTTTTCCTAATTTTTATTTTAGAGAGAGAGATAGAGTGTGCGAGTAGGTTGGAGGGGCAGGGGGCGTGGGCGAAAGAGAATGAATATCTTAAGCAGACTCTGTGCTCAGCGTGGAACCAGATGCGAGCCTGGATCCCACCCTGAGATCATGACCTGAGCCAAGATCAAGAGTCGGACGCTTAACTGACTGAGCCACCCAGGCGACCCCCTCATACCACTGTGATTTAAATAGTAACTAAAAGGTGTCTGAGTGTAGGAACATATCAGAAGCCATTAGCCATGTAAAATCTTTTCTGGGATAAGGTGGAATATAGCTAAATGAAGTTGAAAAATTATTCTTGAGCATGTGGTCTGTGAAATAAATATAACAGTGCATTAGACCAGGGGAAAAAGGACTTTGAATTAATTTGGTTCACGGATTAAATAATTTTATTCAGAATAAGCTTGAAGAGACTGCCTTGCTTTAGACTGTGAAAATCAGAAATAACTGGCATGTGTATTGTAAGCCCTCTTCCCTTTATTGAGCAGGTGGTATAATAAAGACAACTTGTTGTATCATTGGCCTTCCTCATTCATGACGAGAAACTATAGAGGGGACCAACATTGAGGCTTCTGATCTATCCTGAAGCATTTGTTTACACTAAAGCAATTGATGAGTAGAATAGGCTACATATATGTATATATATATTTTATATATATAAAATACAGAAGAATTATATTCTAGAACTGTATCCATAGTCTGTGTATCCATAAATCTGTCATTAATCTCTTAGATTTATACTTTTTTTTTAAACCTATTTGTCTCATTTATAAGTTCATTGAAGTCACCAAATTTAAAGGACTGGATGGTGTTTTTAAAATTTTTGTTTTTTAAAAACATTTTTTTAAATGTCTTTATTATTGAGAGAGAGCGACAGAGACAGCGTGAGCAGGGAAAGGTCAGAGAGAGAGGGAGACACAAAATCCGAAGACAAGCTCCAGGCTCTGAGCTAGCTGTTACCACAGAGCCTGACGCGAGGCTCGAACCCACAAAGCGTGAGATCATGACCTGAGCTGAAGCTGGACGTGTAACTGACTGAGCCACCCAGGCGCCCCTTAAAATTTTTGTTTTTGAAAGTGTGTATTAGTCAAGTAATATCTCATGTCTCTGAATTCCTCAGTAAAAGTATTAATAGAATCTAATGTTAATTGAGCAGTTATTGCTCAATTATTTCCCTAAACAGCTTGCATATATTATCTCATTCCATGTTAGAATGACCATCTGATGCGCATGTCATTATTTTCCTGTATAGATAAAGGAGCCACTGGGGTCAGGTATGAATGCGAGTAACAGTTTACTGAACTAACTGTGGTTTAAACACGTAGAGATAGAAGCCCAGAGGTGGGTGATCTAGGACTTCGGAGGGCTCTGCGGTACCACCAAGGACCCAGATCTCCCCTCCTCTCACCATGGAGCATGTTGGCTTTCTTCTTGATGTCTGTTAACTCTTGATTATAAGATGGCAGCTGCAGTTTTACTTACCATGAGCTCATTCCAGCCAGGGGAAGGAGGAAGGCAGAGGAGTAAAAAGGGCTTTCTTCTAATGAGGCTTCCTTTGTGTTTTATTGAGTAGAGAAGCCCTTCTGAGGTGCCTCTTCCTGTATCTCATTGAGCGGAATTGAATCTCTAGCAGAGAAGGCTGAGGAGTGGAGTGTCCTTGCTGTCTAGGCTCAGCAGTAGAGGAAGGCAGAGGAGATGCCATGGGTGGTTTGGGGTAACCATTCCACAATTCTCTCTCTCTATTAGACCTGGACTTAGTGATCACCTAAATTTCCTCTTTACAGAAAACGGAACATCGCTATGTTCCGGCAGAATTATGAGTAACTAAGCTGTTTAATGATGAGAGAGTCTTTGGAGTAAAAAAGCTTGAGCTTTAGTGGGTGGTTTCCAGGAAAACTAGTACCACTGGTCAAAGTTCTTTTGTTTTTTACTTAAAAAATTTTAATTCCAGGAAAATAAATAACGGTGTGTTTATATAGTCAACGTTTGTTTTCTAAGGTTTTACATTTCTTAGGAGACCATTTGTTTGAAGTTGTCTGTCCCAATATATATAGCATCAGTTATAATTTTATAATTTTTTAAAAGAAAGTATTAAGGTTTTCCATGAATAACCAGCTTCTGATTTGAGTTATAGCCTTGGGGGGGAGGAATTTGTCTCTAAACCATGTTCTCCTGTTGCAGGATTATTCTGTAGGCACTTAGGTTGTAAATTTTCTAAGAGTCTCTTTACATGCCCATCCTATTTTGGCTCACATCCCTAACATTTTTCCCATAGTTGTTGCAATATTTAGTATTTTAATTGTAGTTGTGAGAAAGAATGCAGTTGATTCTCTACTTGGTTTGATCCCTTTCAGCATCTGCTGTCCATTTAAATCTTCGAAACTTCGCCAGGTCATAGAAGGGACGCTCATAAGATAGATCTCATTACAGCAGCCATTTGCGCTACCGTGACAGGTGTTGTCAACCCTGAGAAATAGGACAGACATATATTATGTGGGAAAATATGAGAGGACAATTCATATTGTTTGGCTTTTGGTGTCTTTTAAAAAAAACTGCTATTTTCTGAATTCAGAACTTTGTGAAACTTGAGTATCTCTTGACCAGGGACATACAAGTTTTTTCTTTGCTTCTTGTTTTAAACTTCACTGAAAAGATCTTTCAGTGAACTAGAATTTGAAAATTCAGTCATCTCCCTTTTTCTATTTTGCAACTTGCTAATGCAAAGAAACTAATACTTCTTTATTACCAGAAACCTTTTCAGAGAACTTTATGTAACAGGGAAATTACAGTTTTGAGCCACTGCCATTACTATTTATAGACATGGCAGCAGCTAGACCTGTGTGCTTTCTTTAGTTATCAAAATCTTTCTGCACTTGTAATAGGACAAAGTAATTAAAGTGAGTTTTGATCAACAGCCTGGGCCAACTCTGTTGGGTAGTTTTCTGAAAAGAAGTTTTAGAATAAGCATTTGTTGTTATAGACACTCGGTTTCTTCAGTATTTAAAAAATTTTTTTCAATGTTTATTTTTGAGAGGCTGAGAGAGACAGAGAATGAGTGGGGGAGGGGCAGAGAGACACACATACATATACACACACACACACACAGACACACTGAGTCCTCAGCAGGCTCCAGGGGAGGGGCAGAGAGAGAGAGAGACACACACACACACACACACACACACACACACACACACACACACACACGAGTCTGTAGCAGGCTCCGATCCGTCAGCACAGAGCCCGATAGAGAGAGAGAGAGAGAGAGAGAGAGAGAGAGACACACACACACACGAGTCTGTAGCAGGCTCCGATCCGTCAGCACAGGCAGGCTCAAACTCATGGACTGTGAGATCATGACCATAGTTGGAGTCAGACACTTCACCAACTGAGCCCCCCAAGCGCCCCTCTTTCTTCATTATTTTTAATGGTTCAATAAAATTCAGCATTCTCTTGTCTTCTTTTTATTAATATGATGCATGTGTACAAGATGCATGTGTTTAAAATAAATTTTTATTTTCTATAGACAGTGGGACGAACAATTGGATCCCCGGCTAAATGCAAAACAGAAAGAGGCTGTTCTGGCCATTACAACTCCTCTTTCAATCCAGCTGCCTCCTGTCCTCATCATTGGACCCTATGGGACAGGCAAAACGTTCACTCTAGCTCAGGCCGTCAAGCACATTCTCCAGCAGCAGGAGACGAGGTGAGATGGTGGTATGTGTGCTCCCATTTCATTAGGAGGGCACGCCCTCTTTTCTTGTTGTGAATGCACAGCTGAGAAGATTTTAATTCAGCTTGGAAAATAAAGAAAGATCCACACCAAAACCCCAAAGGACTAAAATTTGAATTCTTTGAAAATATACTGTGGTTTTCAAAAAATTGGCACTGTAGAGAATGATAGCTTTTAAATAGCCGTCAAAACTCCAAGACTGCTAAGGAGTTGTGATATATGTCAGAGCCACAAGAGTTGGGCATATAAAAGCCAGTTTGTATGATAGATTTAAAAAATGATTTGGGGGAACCAATATCCTTGACAGCTTGAAGAGTAGTACAGTTTCCTGAAAACATCACTGAATGATGTGTAGAGAAGATCGAGTAGGCGGAGGGGAATGTGTAGGATTAAGATGACCGCTGCTTCTGTTTGGTATTCTACTGCTTGAATAGCTTTGTGTTTTATCATTCTTTTTTATTTGCACCGTTTATTTCAGCAGGATTCTCATTTGCACCCATTCTAATAGTGCTGCTGATCTCTACATAAAGGATTATTTACATCCATATGTAGAAGCAGGCAACCCCCAGGCAAGACCTCTCAGGTATTTTTTTAAGGCTTATTACGTATCTGTATCATATTTTGTTATTCTTAAGAAAAGGTGTCTGTAAAGATTTTAGTAACTTCGAGAATACAAAATTGTGAACTGTGTATTGGCATTTGGAGGTTCCACCTTTTGAAGAAGCTGTTTAAAATTAAGGAAAAATTTAAAAATCTCTGACCGTTCATTTCTTAAACATTAAGCAAAGAGAAAGACATCCTTTTTTAAGTTTCATATGTAAAGATGTTGAGCAGATTTTGATGTGTACCTCTAAAAGCTACTATGATGAAATAATATGACTATGATTTGTTTAAATCAAATTTAATTAAAATTCTAGCAGAGTTTGCGTGGCAGAGTGGTCATGCAGCAGACGTAAGATTTTGACTGTGATCATGCAGGTAATTTCATAGATATGACACATGAGAGAAGCATGAAATACTGAAATGATCTCTGCAACAAAATGTAATTGACTGGTATTTACAACTTTTTTGCTATCATGTAAGAATCAAAGTGTAGAAGAAGAGTTTACGTTGATATGGAAAGGTCCTCTTGAGTGTGTATGGATATGAAATGTACTTAAACACAGATTCTGGGGGATCAAATCCTTTTCTTCAGAAAACAATAAAGAATCATTAAATGGTTGTTTATTACACCATTTGCTTTCATTGTTATATGAATTAATGTTTAGTTTTGCCATTTTACAGACTAATATGTCATGCCCTGTGTTGTTTGAATATGATTATTGTTTATCCGTTAATTTCTAACCACACTTTTGAATCATAATCCACTAACTTTTTTTTATTTCTAGTTGAGTCCAGGCATGGAAAAACGAGATTATGCTATTTAATTCTTAATAAGTACAGCCAAAGCCATTTGAATGGTTTTACAATTGCATAAAAAAGAACAAAAGAGAAAAAAGTGGTGTGGCCTGCTAACACATGTTTTTATGCCATACTTTAACTCTGGAAGATAAATTAGAGCAGAAATAATTCAGTAGAATCTAGTTGTATTTAGTAAGAAAATACCACATATATACAATCACTATGAAAGAAAATGTGGTATTTATCAGTGGATAAGTTCATCAATACCTATTGTGTTTGAGATTCTAATCTTTTTTAAGTCATAAGTAAAAACTCAGTAGTGAGTAGCAGTTTTGCCCTGAGGGTCCTTACTTTAATGGAGGTGTTTGGTTTGCTTTTATTGTTGGTGTGTGTTTATGTTTGTGTGTGTATGTGTTACCTAGGGACAATAACAACCTCAATTGTCATGGTGCACTTGGCTTGGGGACAGTGGAGTAAAGCCCCCTCAAGTCTTGATTGACCTAGGATAGGTCATTTGATATTTGGGGCAGAAGAGCTGTTGTTGAGACACATTGAAATCCACCATGTGACTAGCATTATATTTAGTTTTTCTTATGCAAAGTAATGTTCTGGAGGCTATAATCCAGCATGCAGTGCATTGAAATATGTGGGATATGAAGTTGTTTCAGTCGGAGCTATGTATAGCTGTAGTGGTCCAAATACAGAGAGCGGCCTCTAGCAGGAAACCTCCCTCTCCACACATCTCAAGAGTGGTTCAGTCAAAAAGCTTGAAAAATATCTAACTATAAATTTCAAGTTATTTTGTTTAGTAAATGGCTTAAAATAAGAAAAGGCTTGACTCTCCTAATATCTTCTTTTGGTGGCCCTACATTTTTACTGTAGTTTTTCTCTTTGGGAAAGGTGTTAACTTGTAAATGGATTTCCTAGGAGGATAATGCATTGAGTTAATTAAAGTTTATTAGTACCATCTTTTATTCCACTAACTCAGATTAATTTACAGTTATCCTGATAGACCTCAAACATGAAGGGTTTGGGTGATGGGAGAGGGCGCGAGTGGGGCGGAGCACTCCGGGGAGCTTAGCTTTATCTGACTTGTCCCACGATGCAGGGGAAGGAACAGAAGGGAGCTCTAAGTGTCCGTGTGTGACTTTGAAGATGTGCTGTCACTGTCTTGTTAGAGTTTGTCTTCTGCACCCTGTAGTCTAGAGTGGACTCTGGTAAATTCTGTAAAGTGTGGAAATAAACATCATAAACATTAGTTTATTACATTAAGTATGTTTAAGTATACACACTTAACAGTTGAAATGTATAAAATTAAATATTCCATGCCAGGGGTTGAGCTTAAAATATTTGGGGATGGAGGTTTTAGAAACCATTTTAGATTACGTTTTGTTTTGGTTTTTACTTCTCGCTTCATTGGAATCAGCAGACTTTAAGGTGGAAGAGAGAGGGAAACACGGGTTCTCAGTGTGGTTGTGATGATCAGTATCCAGTCCTGGCAGGTTACTTAGTAGCTCGAGTTCCTCTGTGGAGAGTGTGTATTTATTGCTTTTTGGGCAGATAGAAGTACTTGTTGTTTTATGTAGATCTTCAAAGTAATAGCTTTTATTCTGGGATCAGGTCTTTGTGATTCTGTAGCGTCTTGAGTAATAACATTTTGGTGGGTTGTTTATTGCATGTGAATTCAATACATGAATAAAATTTCAGTGAATTAAGATTATGTATTACCAGTCTCCTACTCCACGTAATTCATGTGGGATCTGTGGAGGGTTTGTTTCTAGGAATCTGTAAATTACTTAATTGGTGTCATATATCATATGCTGTGAGCTGGAACGTTTCATTTGTCAGTATTCTCTAGTTTTGAAAAATATTGGGTATATTTTTTTAAAAGTTTGTTTAGTTATTTTGAGAGAGAAGGAGAGAGATAGTGCACGCTAGCAGGTGAGGGGTGGAGAGAGAGAGAGAATCCCCATCAGGTGCTGCACTGTCAGCATGGAGCTTGATCCGGGCCTCGAGCTCACAAATCGTGAGATCATGACCTAAGCTGAAACCGAGAGTCGGATGCTTAACCAATTGAGCCACCCAGGTGCCCCTGTTGGTGTATTTTAAATAATTCTGTAGACAGTGTCCACCTTAACTGTTGCACAGAAGGAAAGTATTGAGAAAATGTTTAAATTGTTTTGAAGTCAGCACTAGAATATTGTGCTTTTAAGGAAATATAGGCCTAATGATCAAACTTTGTCTCTTTGCTAGCTTCACCTTGAGGTGGCTTTCCAAGGTAATTGCAAACAAAAAGTCAGTAGTGAGACTTAGAACTTGAATTTTTATTTTTTCTTTGAGGGAGAAGTGGTACTTGGCATTAGTATTGACGAATAATTTGAAAAAAACGTTTTTCCAATTTTACCATGGAAAGTATGGAAAATCTAGAAAAATAAGGAAGAAAATAAAAATTATCTATAATTTCACCACACAGAAATAAATACTAATAACATTTTGGAGTTTAGCTATAGTAATTTATATGTTTAAAACCACATTTTAGTTAATATTAATGGAATCATAATTTGTAAATGATTTTTTAGATAATTTGTAAAATGAGATTTTTCATATATTTAAAAGTAAATTCTGCTTTGTTGATCTGATTAAACTTTTTTAATGAAAACCTAAATATGTTGTTTAACATTTTTGCATCTTTTAGAAGTGATACTGGTTACTCTTACCTAGTTTATAGTCCTTCCTGTCCATGTAATGTGTTGTTGCTGTTGTTGTTTAAGTTTATTTATTTTGAAAGAGAGAATGCATGTGTGTTGGGGAGAGGCAGAGAGAGAGAATCCTAGCAAGTTCTGCACTGTCAGTGTAGAGCCCGATGTGGGGCTTGAACCTACAAACTGTGAGATGATGACCTGAGCGGAAACCAAGTGTTGGATGCTTAACTGACTGAACTCCTCAGGTGCCCCCAGAGTAATGTTTTTAAAATACATTTTTTTTCTTTTAGAGAGAGAGAGGGAGAGAGAGAGAGCGAGCGAGCACGCACATGAGCAGGGGAGACGGACAGAGAGAGAGAGGGAGGGAGGGAGAAAGAATCTTAGGCAGGCTCCGTGCTCAGCGTGGAGCTCAGTGTGGGATCATGAGCTAATCCAAAATCAAGAATCAGATGCTCAACCAACTGAGCCCCTCAGGCATCCCAAAATATATTTCTTTACTTTTCTCTGACAATTTATCCTTAAGAATATTTATTAAATACCTTTTTTTTTTTTTTTTTTTTTTTTTTTGGCTTGGCTTGGCTTGGCTTGGCTTTGCTTAAGAGCAATAACCAGTTCTAAGTGTTTCGTAAAGGGTAAGAACACCTTTTAGAGGATCATGAGATTAGGATTTGTGCCTATCACATTTGAGCTGCCTTTGAAATATCCTAAAGGAAACAAGTGTTAAATAAAAAGTTGCATAGGATCCTGGAGCTCAGAGAGGAGGTTGTGGAGAAAAATGTGAGTCATTAGAGTATTTATTGGTGGTGATCGAAACCACTGGCCTGAGATGGTCAGGGAGACAGCAGAGGCCAAGAAGAAGGGTGTGTGAAAACTAAGCCTGGAGGAGCCCTCACGTGGGGAGGAAGAAGGAAGGCAAGGAAGGGTTGAGTCCTGAAGCTGCAGGAGGGGAGTGCTGCAGGGAGGGAAGGAACCCGGAGCTGGCTGCTGCTAACACATCAAGTCCCGTGACGGGCCTGGAGAGCATCCAGAAGCTTTAGTGACATGGACCTTTATATCCTGTGATCGGACCCCACACTCTCTTGAGTTCTTTCCTACTTCTTTGACTGTTTCTTGCCAGTTTCCTTTGCTGTAGCTCTCAACTTTCCCCATCAGTAATTTTTCCAACTAGTTTCTGTTTTAGCTACATTTTCTCTCCAGTGGATCTCATGTGGTCCCAAGGTTGAACTATTATCCCAATTGTATAAGTCTTGTCCCAGATATTCTTCTGAACTTCAGATGTCTGTATCCCCCTGCATCGTGGACAGCCCCACATGGCTGTCCGCTACTGCATTTGTCCAAAACCACAAACCACATTCTCAGTTCCCACTTCAAATCTCTTCCTCAACTTTCACCATCTTTGTAAACGCCACGGTCATTCATCCAGTTTCGAAGGCACAGAATCATGCCGTCTTTTAAAATGCACGTCTGGTTCACCAGAACGTCCTGTCGGCATCGCCTTCCAAGTGCTTAGTGAATCCAGCCATTTTCACATCTTCACTTATTGTCACTGTGGTCCACGCTTGCCTCGTTTCTTCTCCAGACCATTGTAACAGCTTCCTATCGGGTCTCCCTGATTCTCTCCCCTGCCCCTGCCTCCGTTCCAGTCAGTGGCGAATGGCAGCCAGCTTGCAGTGGAGTGTGAGAGCCAATCATGTACATGTCTTTCCAAGTTCATGTTCAGTGACACCATATTGGTAGCTTGAAATTGGCCATGATAATAGATTTTATACCACAGAAGTCAGCAAGCACTTCACATCAGCTCCACCGCCACCCTCCAAGCTGGTTTATGAGCACACCACTGTCTGGCCTCCTCCCCCTAGTTCCCCAAACTATATATTCTGTGCAGAGCAACAGGTCCTTTAACAGCAGAAGTCAGATCATGTTACTGCCCTGTCAGCACTCTCTGATGGCTTTCCATTACAATCAGAGTAAATCAAAGCTTTTATGAAAGCTTGCAAATCATGTGATTTGCCTCTGTGCTTGCAGCATGCTAGACACCCAATATGTTTCACATTTGTTACATGTGAGTGGGTTAGAGATGGGTGGTGGGAGAGTGGGTGGGTGGATGGATGACTTGATTCTATACCATTTTAGTACTCTATTGCGTGAGAGCTCTTAATATTTTTCTTTTGCAATTAGTGGAGGACATACTCCCCCGTTTTTAATGTTTTATTAATTTTGATTGAAGGCAAGGGGGAAGGGTAGAGAGAGGGAGAGAGGTTCCCAAGCAGGCCTCATGCTATCAGCACAGAGGCTGATGTTTGGAACTCATGAACCATGAGATCATGACCTGCGCTGAAATCAAGATTCAGACGCTTAACCAACCCAGGCACCCCAAGATGCTCTTTCCTAAGATTTTCTGTTTGTCTATAATTTAAATTTATTTTTAAATCTCCTTTACATAAATCCTCTTTAAAACTTTAGATATAGGTCTGTATACATATAGGTGTAAGATATATTCTGAAGTAAAATGCGGATAACTTTTAAGTTCTTGTTGTAGGTGTGCAGTTCACTATTTTTTTTTTTTTTTGCGGTTCACTATTTTTTGTTAGCATTCATAATTAGAGTATGAGTTAAGTATATTTTTATAAGAATATTTTAGAAAAAAGTAATTCCCAAACGGAATGTTTTGAATTTTAAAAACTATAGTGTTTATGAAACTGTGTGTCACTCTGTTGTAAGATTAATCTGAACACTTAATAGATACTTATTTTATGATAGTACATATGCTTTCTGCTTGAATCCTTTTTTGGTAGGGCAAAGTCACAGTTGTCTGTTAAATTTTAATTCAGTAGAGTGTTAATGGTTACCAGATTTATTTATGGATTTCCAGATACTGTAGTCTTAACAAAATAATGTCATTTTTTTTAAATAATGCTGGTAAGATGTTAATAAATATAAATAGGAAATATTGTCTTCTTTTATAGGGTATATTTCAGAAATCGCTGGGTAAAGACTGTCCACCCAGTTGTGCATCAGTACTGTTTGATCTCAAGCGCACATTCCACCTTTCAGATGCCACAGAAGGAAGATATTCTTAAACACCGAGTGGTGGTTGTTACATTGAATACTTCCCAGTACCTCTGTCAGTTGGACCTTGAACCTGGTATGCTGACTCAAGACACAGATAGGGTGTCCCTGAATGCACAGGGCCTCTGCATTCAGTTTAGACCAGGGGTTGGCAAATTATAGCCTGTGGGCCAAATCTGGCCTGTTGTCTGTTTTTTGTAAATAAAGTTTTATTGGATGGAATGCAGCCATGCCCATTTATTTACCTATGTACTACGTATGGGTGCCTGTGTGCCGCAGCAGCTGAATTGAGTAGATGAAACAGGGATCGAATGGCCAACAAAACCTAGAATATATACTGTTTGGCCCTTTTCAAAGGAGGGGAAAAAAAGTCAACCCCTAGTTTAGACATTTGAGTGACTACTATTTTATTTGTTCTCTTATCAGATGGCATTTACATACTGTCAGTCTGAGTGAAAAATTCATATTTGGATAGTGATGCTTTTTATAATTTTCTCAAGTTTTTTTTTTAAATACTTTCATGTTATATAGTGTAGAGACAGCAATCATGGTAGTTTTTTTTCAGACATACTATTAAGATTATTATATTGAAGTACAGGAATTTGTAAAATCAAGCTAATATTATATGAAGTACAGATGTAAGATGACAAGTATTTCTGATACATATGGCAGAACTTAACCATCAAAAAGTGGTACCACTTTAAAGGTGTTTGCTTTGGACAAATTCATTTATTACTGCCATATTATAATGGTTGACATTGCTCAACACTTTTTGCTCTCTCCTTTTGGAATTGCTTTCAGAGCCAGTGACAGGTTCTTTTGAACCTTTGAGTCCCTAGAAGGTAGATACTGTTCTCTTCACCTTAAATTCCTGGCACCTGGCCCAGGTATAGACCCCTGGAGGCCCTTGATAAACCGCTGTTTATCTAAAATGAATGAATGGTGGCCAAACTTTTTTTCTTTTTTTGAGGTAGATTTAATTTTAGAAAACCTTCAAAATCTTTCTGAGACATGTCTGGTAAATAAGGTAGGTGATTAAACTGAGCAATACCATTAGAGTTAAAAAAAAAAAAAAAGAGAGAGAGAGAGAGACGTGCCTCTCATGTAATGAGACTTATTTTCTTGTGCACGCAGCTCATAGCTGGCTGGTGAGGGCAGTTACAAAAGCAGAGTTTCAAAAATGTTTTGAAAAGTGACTGCATCATTGGAATGAGTTCTATTTCCTCCCAACTGACTTCTTTGAATGGAACAACACTTATTTGAAATGTAAATTTTGGTATGTTTATTTAACAATCAGTCTCATTACTTTATGGTTCTACTCTGCCTGTGTGCCGCTTAGATGAAATGCCCAAACCTCCGAAGCAGTAGAGTTTTGTGAGAAAGTTAAGGATGGCTTTGAAGAGCAAGAATATAGAAGAATACTTACAAGTTGACTAAGTGCTTTGTTCTGGATGTTGTTTATACTTGATTTCATTTCATTCTCCGATCAGCCCTGTGGAGGGAGGGTTCTTTTATAGATAAGGAAACAAAGGCTTAGGCTACATCAGTTTGATTCGATTCAAGTTACCTTTACCAGCTTTAAGCAACAGCTATAACAGTTTCATGATTTATCCAGTTGCTGACTCAAGCCTACCTCTGTTTAATTAAAATGTTATCTAATGAAAGCAGTAGTTTTCAAGCGATTAGTTTTGTAGGACAAAAAGCACAAAGTCTCCTTAACAGGGAGAAAAGCGCACATGCCTGTCTCATGTTTAGGCCACTGTCAGGAAATAGACAACAGTTATTGATCCATTTACTATCAACTGTAGCTGTTTATATGAATGGATGATAAGGGTGGTCATTACTGCTAGTCAGTACGATTTAGAAAGTTCCCAACCTAAAACCAAGTTGCATTAGAAAGTTGCATAAAAGGTGGTTTGGAACTTGCTGCTATACATAGAAGTTAGTAGGTTAGGTTCTTGGGCCTTCCTCACAGGCAGCTAGCTAATTAATTCAGAGAGTTTTATAACTTCTCATTTTGTTTAGAAACCCTTTTGTTTCTTTGCTCTGCTAGTACAAAGAAGGCCCCTTCTTCCTCCCTCAGTGGGTTGACAGTAAGGCAGAGCTTGTTTCTTCTCCACATTGAGACCCTGAGATTTTTTGCCTCTTTCCCCCCTTGGAGGCAACAGGACTTTCTCATCCTTTCTGTACGCAGAATCCTGTGCCCCAGTGTGAGTGGTAGCAGCGGTCAAGATGTGGGATGCCTCCTACTGTAGGGTTTGCATCTGGGGGACTTTAGGAAACATGATGTTTTTGACATTCACCTTTCACTTTTTTTTTTTTTTTTAATGTTTTATTTATTTCTAGGAGAGAGAGAGACAGAGACAGCGTGAGCAGGGGACGGTCAGAGAGAGAGGGAGTCACAGACTGAAACAGGCTCCAGGCTCTGAGCTGGCAGTCAGCACAGAGCCTGACGCGGGGCCCGAACCCATGAACCGCGAGATCATGACCCAAGTGAAAGTCAGATGCTTAACCGACTAAGCCACCCAGGCGCCCCTCACCTTTCACTTTTTGCATACTGATGATTCCCCCCCTCCCCCCACCAGCCAGGGTAGCTCTTAGACCAAACAGTTATATCTCTGCCTTATCTATCCACATGCACAAACACATGAACAGAACTCTAAATAATCAAGTTAGTGAATCTGCTAATCAGTACCCCCTCCCCTTTGTTTCAGTAAAGGTTAGATTATAATTTTTGCCCCTTACATTGGATTTGAGGTATGATTTTCTTTATTTTAACGTTTAATATGCATGGTAAAGCTAGAATTACTCGTAAAATACCATTGTTTTGGTTTCAGTGTTTTACCACATAAATAGAGGACTGTCAGTGTTTAGTTGCTGGTCCTCCTTTTTGGTGAAAAGCTGCTGTCTTGTACTTTTAAACATCTTTTTTTATACATACTCCGCCAGCTGTTAATCTTGGGGCCCTCAGCATCAGATACCATTTCATATCTGTTATCGGGTAAAGTAGTTATTTCTTGTCATCTCTGTTCTTTAAATAATGATTTAAATTGACGACTTTCTAAATTGAGGATTGGCTTAAATGTACCCCTACCTCCGAAATCAGCACACTGAACTCTTTCCTTAGCAGAAAAGAACAGAACTACTGCTGCCTTTATTGCTGCTATAATCTGCTTTACTGTGTTTATACTGTACTTTGTAGGGTTCTTTACACACATTCTGTTAGATGAGGCTGCCCAGGCCATGGAGTGTGAAACCATCATGCCTCTAGCATTAGCAACTAAGAGCACGCGGATTGTCTTGGCTGGTGACCACATGCAGGTGCGTGTCCTCCGAGTCCTCGGACTGAAGGAACTTCCAGTTATAATTTCATGTTTAATATTCTGTTTTCTAAAACATCCCATGAGATTGTGCCATGCATGACAGTTTAAGTACTTCATTCCACTGGTTATTTTTTCCTTTTTTTTTTTATATAGAGTGGAATGGATGAGTCTATCAGTGCTTATAATTTTCATGTTTTTAATTTGAAGTTCAGTTTTCTATAGTGTGCATATTTGATTCTTTTCTTTATAAAATAAACTTTAATGATCCTTCCTACACTTCCCCAGTTCTTATCCCTAACATTTGTTTTCACAGAGTGTTGATTTTTTTTTTCGCCATCATAGGGAACAAAGTATACTTAATTCAAAGTAATAGCCCAAATCTCAAAGAATGTGTCTGATTTTATGTTTTGTAATACCTGTATGTGAAAGAGAAGTACACTTTTAGTATTTGTTTTACAAAGTTGCAGATGGAAGTTCTTTCTCTTCTGCCACAGTTGAAATTGAACCAGTTTAGTGTTGTAGCTGTGAAGACATCTGGGAAAGAAATTCTGTGTTTGTTTCTTTGCCAAAAGTAGTTTAATGTTGTTCTTTAGCGGCCAGAGGGATGATCAAGAATGGCTCCTTATACTTAATGAGATAATTGTTATTTCACTAATTATTAAAAATCTTTTAGCCAAAGGCTGTCTATCCTTCCAGCTCACCATTTTAAGTAGCTGATCAATTATAGTGAAGTAACTGATTGACTCCCCCCAGTGATGCAGTGAGTTGCACCCCTGAAGTCCTTGAAGTAATAGCTGTTTCTTATTATGTTGGAGGAGCCCTTTGTTAACTCCCGGCTACTGTTGATAGAATGAAGTGAAAAGTTAGAAATTTTAGCCAAGTTCTTTATAGTAAGTAGTAAAATTGTTGAGAGAAAATATTTTTGATTCTGCTTATGCCAGCATTCAGTGTGTTGAGATTTAGTACATCAGAAGTTTCAGCATAACGGACTTTTTATAAGTAGGTTATAAAAATACTACTTGTGTATTTAGTTAAATTTTCTCTGTATGTTTGTCTGTTACAGCTCAGTCCTTTTGTTTACAGCGAGTTTGCCAGGGAGAGAAACCTTCATGTTTCATTACTTGATCGACTCTATGAGCATTACCCTGCCGAGTTTCCGTGTAGGATCCTCCTATGTGAGAATTACCGCTCCCATGAAGCTATCATCAAGTAGGTGTGAACTGCTCCTTCTGTACCATCCTCCCCGGGTATGGTGGGGGAGAGCTCACAGGGCCACTGTTACTAGGGACAGGCTTCCCAGCACAGTTAGATGGTGCCCCTAGTGCTGCAAATTATGTTAAATTTTATTCCTGTAACAGAATACCTCAAAAGTCCGCTGTTGTTTTTCACAAAGTAGGGCAGTCCTGGAAATCAGAACTTTAGGTTCTACCAGCTGTGATATTTTTCTGTGACTAAATATGTAATATATATGTAAAACCACATCATGTAATAAACAGATACACTGACAGAACACGTACAGGTTTGCTTTTATGTCTGGTTGTGTTATACAAGGACTCTGTTGTAGGAAGGAAGGAAGGAAAAACCATGAAAGTAATAAAGTGTTTAAAGTTTCTATTAAGTATAGTATGCATCTGTAAAACTAAAAATATCGTACGTGACAGCCCAGTGAACAGTCACAAACTGAACACACCCATGTAACCAGCACCCAGATCGAGAAACAGAATATCTGGAAAGCCCCTTTGTGCTCCTTTCCAGTCACTAACCCCTCCCAAAACTTCGTTTTTTAAAGTTTAATAGAATTGAGTAGAGTTCTGTTAGTCAGTGAAAACCATTTTTAGGATTCCCTGAAAACAGTAGGATAGATATAAAAGTAAATTTAGATGTAACTAGATCTTTTATCAGTATCTCAAAATGTGATTCTCTTTTTATTGTTGCCAGTCATTTTCTGCAGTCAGTAATAAATCAAGTACTTGGATCCTTCAGTAGGAAAAAGTATTCATTGTACATTTGAAAACTTGAATGTCCTTTAATTCTGTGTGTTTCAGTGTCTGTGTATCTTTGTGTTTGCATGTGTAATTAAATGAACCCTATAAGTAGAAATATGTATTAACCAAGAAAATAAACTAGCTTGCAATTTCCTCATCGAGCAAGATTTCCATCTAGTATTGAACTGCTGTCATTTCTTCCTTTTCTTTCTGTATTCTGACTTCATGCCTTGTCAGATCAGTTCATTTAGCAACCATATCCCAGGAGCCTACCCTGTTGTTATTGCTGTGGTTACTTTTGGAGAAAATCTTGCCCTCATAAGTGTTAAATTAATTATGGACCTAAAGCAAAATTATTAGAATTGACTGGTAATTTTTTTCTTATGGGGGAAGTTAATTTTGATGATAAATCACTATCTATTTTTTTATTTATTTTGGTCCTTTTTTGCAGTTACACCTCTGAGCTCTTCTATGAAGGCAAACTGATGGCCAGTGGAAAGCAGCCAGCACACAAGGATTTCTACCCACTAACTTTCTTTACAGCACGAGGGGAAGATGTACAAGAAAAAAATAGCACAGCTTTTTATAATAATGCAGAGGTACCGGAGTTCTTTTGCGTATTGTTAACATTTTCGCAGTCACAAAGTTTGTTCTTGTTGAGCATTCATTTAAGATTCTGGGTTGACATCTTACTGTGTGTTACTTGCATGAAAATAGTATGTGATATTTATTCTTTCTGTATAACATTGATTTGTTAATGATTTGTCTCCCTGTGGGACACAAAAACTTTGATTTACATTTTGATTACATTTGATTTACATTTCTTCTTTCCAAGATTTTATTTTTAAGTAATCTCTACACCCAGTGTGGGGCTCAAACTCGCAAGCCAGAGATTGAGATTCACATACCCCGCCAACTGAGCCAGCCAGGCGCCCTTTGATTTACATTTCTTATGGCAAAATACAAACTATATTTTTTCGTTTAAAAGAAAAGCCAATGCTATCTTCATGTAATTATTAGCCATCTAAAATAGACTATGATTATATTTCATAGTACTTACTCAGATGAGTCATCATTATTTTTTATTTTTTAATTTTAGAGAGAGTGAGTGCAAGCAGGGGAGAAAGGCACAGAGAGAGAGAGAGATTGTTTATTTTTGAGAGAGAGAGAGCTTGAGCTGGGGAAGGACAGAGAAAAAGGGAGACAGAGAATCCAAACAAAGCAGGCTCTGTGCTGTCAGCGCAAAGCCTGACTTGGGGCTCAATCCCATAATTCTGGGATCATGACTTGAGCTGAAATCAAGAGTCAGACACAACCGACTGAGCCACCCAGGTGACCTTCCAGTAAGTTATGATTTTTGGGGTGGCTGGGTGGTTCAGTCAGTTAAGCATCCGATTCTTTTTTTTTTTTTTTTTTAACGTTTAGTTTTGAGAGAGAAACCTATAGAGCACAAGCAGGGGAGGGGCAGAGAGAGAGGCAGACACAGAATCTCTGAAGCAGGCTGCAGGCACTGAGCTATCCGCACAGAGCCGAACACAGGGCTTGAACTCAAGAGCTGTGAGATCATGACCTGAGCCAAAGTTGGACACCCAACCGAGTGAGTCACCCAGGCACCCCAAGCACCTGACTCTTGATAAAGGCTCAGGTTGTGATCTCTAAGTTGTGAGACCGAGCCCTGCTTTAAGCTTTGCTGTGAGCTTGGCACCTGCTTAGGATTCTCTCTTGCCTCCCCTCTCTGCCCCTCCACAACTTGTGTGCACACACTCTCTCTTTCAAAATAAATAAATACATTTTTTTTAAAAATTGAGTAAGACTTGAATTGCAGAATCATGTGCTCCAGGATCTCCAGAGAGATCACACAGGCCCACATGACAGTGTTGCTAAGCTATTCGGTGCCATATAACTTGTATGGTTCTCTTATAGTTACTGCCTTTTTACGTTCAGAGAGAATGTGGGTAATATGGTCGGGTCAGACAGCAGACCTAACCCTGGTGAAGAGTTTTAGGGCCAGCAGGCCAGAGACCCTTGCCGTTCTGTGTCACAAAGGCATAGAACCCCAGAGGAGGGTGTGTGCTTGTTGGTCATTAGAGGAATGGTTTCTGATCTGTGCTCTCCATTTCCCTTTCTTCTGTTGGGTCCCATGCTTCACTCATTTTATTTACAAAGAAATGGGTCTTCCTTTGTAATAGGAATTCATTTTTCCTTTTAAAAATTGATCAGAGGTCTATAGTGAGAAGTCAGTACAAGAAAATCAACTGCTGTTAACTGTTCAGTATAAGCCTTCTGCAGCATGGAGCTGTGGCAAATGGGATCTGATGGTCACCAGCTCCAAAACTGCCTAGAATGACTCTTTCATACCAGGGAGATGGGGACCGCCCCTTAGCTGCTAAGACAGCCTTCCTGTGAGACAGAGCCCTGGGGGGCCGGGTGCAGTCTCCAGCCTGAGTGCCCTCGCCTCCCTCTTCTTACTGAGTGTCTGGAGACTTTGTTGAATAAATGCTTCTCAATTTCTTGTTAACTCTTGAATCAGTCTTCAGAGACTTTGGATGATTGTCTACTGATTTGGACTAGCTTAACAGCTGTCTGTCTTGGATAGAAATTTCCCAAACGCCTCCTATCACCATTCCAAGTCTGTGTATTTTGACTACAGTTTTCTGCATCCCTTCACAGCGGGATGAAGTGGAGAAATGCTTAGTGGTAGGAACTCTGTGTATGTGTTTGGGGGGGTGCGGGGTGGTGGTGGCTGGTAGATGTGTCTCCGCAGCTTTCATCTGCCCCCATATTTAACCACATGGGCAAACATAGGTTTTTCTTATTCCTTATTGCGGTGGACTCAGACCCACCTTACTTATTCCTTGTAGTGAGAGCACCAGGTCTTCAGTCCAGTTTACTTTTCGGAACCCTTGGACAGTCTGTACATCTGAAGCACTTGCTGTTACAGCATTTTCACAGCGGGGGACTCTAGTCTCTATCTCTGTCATTCATTGACTTTGTATCTGGCAGTGTGGACTGCATTGCGGTTAATCCTCAAGTTCTTGAAAGGAATAAAAAACTGTCAAATTTTATTAGGTATATTTAAATTGTAACTTTAAGTAGATATTATTACCAAATAGTAAATAAACAATGTATTTAAAAGACAATTAAAATTTTTTCTTCTCTCTGCCCCTAGAGTCTTGCCTGACCCTCTCTTGGGCTTAACCATTTACATACACGTATACATATACATACACATACACATACATATATGTATATATATTTTTTAGGAATCTGTTTTCTAAATATATAGTAATCTCTTAGGCAAGGAACATGTTTTATTAATCATTGTATCTCCCACTTTGCCAAGCATTGAAACTGTTTGATCAGTTCACTGTATTAAAATACGTTGAATTACACTAAAAGTCCTACTAATAATCTAATAAGTAGGGTCCAGAATATTCACTTGGGTAAAATATGGTGTTACTTGCAAGGTTAATGAAATGGCTTGGACAGACTTGTACTGGTGGAAGGCAGTGAATTGTCAGAGTGCCTCTTCAGTTCAGGCTTGTCTTCGTCCCAGCTGTGGTTTGGTGTTAGCTGTTGGCTGGTTTGCTTAGTTGTGTCAGTGGGGGGAGGGGACCAGTGCTAGCTCTTGTACTGCTGAGACTTAATGGTGGTGTTGCCTCTAGGAATCTTCTAACTGGCTGCTAATTTCACTGGCCTGATCTGGAGTGAATGGACTGAGAAATACTAGGACTCGGCTCTCTGATTCCCTAGATGGGTTGCTAGTTTAATGGCCCTATCCCTGTCCTCCTCTCTGCAAAGGAAATAGAACCTGCGCCCATTTAAGAATGCAGGCTAGGCGCACCTGGTGGCTCAGTTGGTTAAGCATCCTATTCTTGATTTCAGCTAAGGTCATGATCTCAAGGTTTGTGGGACTGAGCCCTGCGTTGGGCTCTGCACTGTCAGTGATTGGGATTCTCCCTCTCCTTGTCTCTCTGCTCCTCACTCTTTCTCATAAAATTTAAAAACAAAACAAAACAAAAAAGAATGGAGGCTGGACGAAAGGTGTGGGCCAGTTGCCCACTCACTATATGTCTCCGATATTCATGTTTTCACTGGGTGGATTATCGCAAGAATTTTACTGTTTGAAACGTACATAAAATTTTTCGTTCTGTGTTCGTATCTGCAAAGCATTATTCCTATTTTGAGGTAGTTTTTAAATGACATTTGCTAAAATGGCATCCTTGATACATGTTTCCTTTACTGTATCCTTTCCTGCAAACACTTCATAGCTTTCAGTGCACCTCTGTGTTTGTTTAAAGGTCTTCGAAGTGGTGGAACGTGTGGAAGAGTTGAGGAGGAAGTGGCCAGTAGCATGGGGGAAGTTGGATGATGGCAGTATTGGTGTGGTGACACCGTATGCTGATCAAGTGTTTAGGATACGTGCCGAACTTCGAAAAAAGAGATTATCTGATGTTAATGTAGAAAGGGTGCTAAATGTTCAAGGTAAGTATTAATTGAAACGAGTCAAGTTATTCAGAGGCTTAAATCCTAACGTGTGTGCACATTTGATTTTTAATTCTGAAGATCTCTTTTCGGGACAAGCTACCATGTATTCATTCCATACCAAGTTCTTGAATGCCAAATGTGACAATTAAAGGTCAGGCTCATTTACATGTTTATTACATTTTCATATCCAAATAAGAGAAGTAGGAACAAATGGAAGTTCTCAGTGGCCGTACTTGTGTGAACATCACACACCATGTCTGTACGCAGTAGTTACAGTCACAGGGGCGTATGACACCTACTGTCATTATATTGTAGCCGATGACTGATTTGTTCATAGTGATTTTTGAAAATGTGTACCCATGAAGGATATTTCTGTTTAAATCCATTTTTAAAGGCATGGTTGTGCCTTATTTTTTTTTTTTTTTAACGTTTATTTATTTTTGAGAGAAAGAGACAGTGTGAGCAGGAGAGGGACAGAGACGGACACACAGAATCCAAAGCAGGCTCCAGGCTCTGAGTGGTCAGCACAGAGCCTGACGTGGGGCTCGAACTCACGAGCAGTGAGATCATGACCTGAGATTGAAGTCAGACGCTTAACCGACTGAGCTACCCAGGCACGCCAGGGCACAGTTTGTTTTTTAGATGTAGAGTTTCCTAAGCAAATAGTTATCAGCAGCTCATTTAAATTGTCTTCATGTAGTTAGTTGCTGTAGAATTTCTGCTTTTACTAACTATATGAAACAACAGTGTCACATGAGTGCTGGAAAAGTTCAGTACAATTGCAGTTTTAGGTTTCGTGAGATAACGGTTTGTAGATTATAAGGACAAAGTAGCTCCAGTATACCACGTGTTGTCCAAATCCCACGGGATTTGGGTGTGCGTTTAGAAGAGATATTACCAGTAAGCTAGGTCGCACCCAAAGGAGACGTGGGAGAGGTAATGGTCTAAAAACTGCCACATGGGAGTCAGAAATGGTTGAAAGAACGAGGGTTGTTTGGCCCAGAGAAGACTAAAGATTGATATTAAACCTGTATTTGGAAATTTGTCACAGAATGAAGGAATAGATGTGTCACTGTAAGAAAGAGCATAATAAAAAATATACAGACTAGACTCCCGACATAGTTTCCTTAATGGAATCCGCCGTGTCTGCCTCGGTCAGCAAGAGGTGACCCCGCTTCAAAGAACAGTCCTCGTATTGACTGGGACCTTAGATAAGATAGTCATGAAGGCTCATTCCAGCAATAATATTTTAAAAATTTCAGTAAAATTTGCCATTTTAGCCATTTTTAGGTGTTCATTCTGAAAGTGTCTCTCCAGTTTAAAAATACATAAAATGCCACAGTTCATTGACATTAAGTACATTCACATTGTTGTGAATGCCATCGCTGCCGTCCGTCTCCAGAACTCCTCTCGTCTTGTAAAACTGAAATTCTGTGCCATTCTGTTCTCCCTGTTCTACTTCCCTCCTCCCCCGAACCCCTGGCAGTCACCACTCTACTTTGTCTATGACTTGACTACTCCAGGCACCTTACAGAAGTGTGGTCATACGGTATCTGGCCTTCTGTGACTGGCTTCTTTCATCTAGCATAGTGTCTCCAGGGCTCGTCATGTTGGGACATGTGTCGGAATGTCCTTCCTTGTTTAGGCTGAGTAGTATCCACGGTACGTGCATGCCACGCTTCATTCTTCTAGTCGTCTGTTGTCCGACGCTTGGGTTGCTTCTACCTTCGGCCCTTGTGACTAATGCTGTTATGAAATATCTGTTCGAGATCCCACTTCCAGTTCTTCTGGCTATAAACCCAGAGGAGGAATGCTGGATCATATGTTAATTCTATGTTTAATTTTAATTCTGTGTTTTAATTTTATGTTTAATTTTTTTTAGGCGCTGCCATACTGCTTTCCATAGTGTTTTACATCCCGTACAGGACATGAGAGTTCCGGTGTTTCCACGTCCTCACCGACCCCTGTTATTTAGCAATAACGTTTAAAAACTAAAATGCTTTTGTTATATCCGTGACTCAAAATAACAGTCTTACGAATCTTGTTTATTTATTTTTTATAGGAAAGCAGTTCAGAGTTTTGTTTCTTAGCACAGTACGTACAAGGCATACTTGTAAACACAAACAGACACCAATTAAAAAGAAAGAGCAACTGCTGGAAGATTCCACGGAGGATTTAGATTATGGTTTTTTATCTAACTACAAACTTCTCAATACTGCCATCACCAGAGCACAGTCTCTGGTTGCTGTGGTGGGCGACCCCATCGCCCTCTGCTCCATCGGAAGATGCAGGTAATTGCGTGGTACTGATTCAGGTGGAAATGTAGAGTGATGTGCATCCCTGTGGTACATTTATTTATCTGACCTCTTGGATAATTAAAATCAGGTGCAGTCTTCCCTCACACCCAATGGGAACGCAAACATATATTGCCCCGGGTCTGTTCATATATTCATAATTATGTATTCATTCATTTAGTCGTCACTCGGCAGATGTTTCCTGAATGCCTGCTCTGTTCTAAGTACTCTTCTAGCTACTGACGATAAGTCAATGAACAAAATGAAAAACATCTCTGCTTTTGTGGAGCTTAACATTTCATTGGGGAAGAGAGGAAGAGTGAGAAAAAAAATAAGAATACCATGTAGTTTTTTACATGGTAAGTTCAGTGGAAGAAAAATAGAACATTAAGAGAAATCCGAAGTGATGGGGGTGCGGTGGGCTGGCTTGTGATTGTCCGTGGCGTGTCAGGGCAGCCCTCGCTGAGAAGCTGACTTTGAAGTGAGCTCTGCGGACAGCTGGGGTACAAACGCTCCAGGAAGAGGGAGCACCTTGTGCTCGGGTCCTGAGGTCATTTCGTGTATATGTGTATCTTTGATGGAGACTGAATTTTACGTCAGTGCTGCTTCATTTTCTCCCCTTCATTATTGTTGTAGGTTGTTTTTGATGAATTTCCTTCTCTACTTATTTTCTCTCAGGGCTTCTAAGTGTAAATGTTCTTCGTGTCTGGTTAATCCAGAGGATCTTAAAATTAGAGGGGTTAGAAGTGGCTATAACTTGTCTCTAGATAGTGTTGCTAGTAGTCCGTAGCTTGTAGTCATAAGGAACTATTTCCACCAAAACTATTTGTTCTAAAACTAAAAGTTACTCTTTATATTCTTATGATCTATACCAGTTAATCAGAATTTTAACTGTTTGAAGCTGGTTATATAAGACTTGGTCATTGTAGCATTGAAAATTATGTTACCATTAACAAACAGTTGAACAGAAATTAATATATACTTTATGAAAAAGAAATACACTAGGATTTATTTAAAGTTGCATAAGTACCCTAGGACCTGTCGCAGTGAGTTCAGACAATAGAGATACAGACAGTGCCGATTATGCCCTTCATAATTGTTTTTGATATATTAGAATTAAAGTAGACAGAGCTCTTGGTGGCCTTTTTAAACCAAGTTTTCTATTGCAGTATAGACATGGCAGCATTTTATTGTCTGTTTTGTTTCAGCAAACGAGAAAGAACAAAAAGGATACTATATATGAAGGGAGACAGTTGGGACCTTTAATAATAGTAATGTACATGTATTCAAGTGTAAGACTTCAAAAGAAGTTAATAAACTTTATAGGGGAAAGCCACCAACAAAGGAATTGAGTAGTTTTGATCTACGGTTAGGTTAAAAAAACTAACCTTTTATTAAAAAAAAAAACACAACACTTGAATAGTCCATGACTTATTTATGCATAGCTATAGTCCATGACTTATTTATGCATAGCTAAACAGTCCTGTTGTAAGGTGTCCTTAATTTCATAAAGATAATTTAAAAATTTAAAAAAATTGATTACCATCCGTTTTTAACTGCTAATGACAAAAAGCTGGAGAAGGGAATATATGCATTCCAGGTTACAAGTGAATAAAACTAGGTATAATAATTTGACTTCTCTCCTGAGAATTTTAGTGTAGTTACTTTATGATTCATTGAGCGTGCATTTCGGCTAGAATATTGCTGTGATATTTTACTATTTTTGTAAATATTTATCATTTGAAAAATGTGAAAACACAGTTTGATTAGAATTTGGTAGATTAGAACACATGTAAAATAACATATATTTTAAAAAACTAGAAACTGTTGGAGGAATAAATAGGTATAACAATAGTCTTGAGCCAAACTTGTTTTGTACTCTCTTTATAAATACCTCCAAATCTTTCCCAGTGTTAATGTTCCTTTTTTTTTTTTTTAATGTTTTATTTATTTCTAGGAGAGAGAGAGAGAGAGAGAGAGACAGTGTGAGCAGGGGAGGGTCAGAGAGAGAGGGAGTCACAGAATCCGAAACTGGCTCCAGGCTCTGAGCTGGCAGTCAGTACAGAGCCCGATGCGGGGCTTGAACCCACGAACCGCGAGATCATGACCTGAGCGAAAGTCGGACGCTTAACCGACTAAGCCACCCACGCGCCCCTAATGTTCCTTTTTTAAAGCCATTATCTGTTTCTGTAGAGTTGTATTATGCTGGGAATTGCATGACATCAGCATTTTTCACCCCTTCTCTGACAGAACTTGTTATTCTCTCAGAGCAAATAGGTGAATAATTCTTTCTGAGGCCAGGCTGTCAGAATTATCTAGGGCTAATTTTTAACTTGAAGCCAGGTTTTTTGGTTGCTTATTTCTTACTACTCAGCTGGAGTGTATTAAAGACAGCAAATTATTTATAAGCTAAGTAAAATATTTTCAGAGAGGTTAAATATATTGTTTAGGGAGAAAAAAAATCATGTGACTTAATTTGGAATGCTGATTATCTGTGTTATTTGGACAGTTTAATCATGGTTCTAGACCAAGAGCTGATAGTTGAAGTGTATGGATATTTGTGCTTTAATCTTTCTAGTTTCATTAGAAATTAATTTAATCTCACAATACAAGTAAACTTGGAGGACATAGATAATAATACTTAGGTTCTATAACAACAGAGGAGTGAATTCTTGAGTTAATCAGGATTCTCTTCCCCCACCCTGTCCCATTTACTATTTGTGAAAAATCTTTCCAAATATTGATTAAGTTTCCGAGGAATGATTATTGTGTATAGGATACCAGTTTAGAAGGCAACCATTTTATCATCTTTTTTGTTGTATTTTTATTTTTGCTTATTTATTTGTTAACAGAAATTTTTAATGTTTATTTTTGAGAAAGAGTGCACGAACGGGGGAGGGACCGAGAGAGAGGGAGAGAGAACTCAAAGCAGGCTCTGTACTGTCAGCACAAACCCGATATGGGGCTTGAACCCCGTGAACCATGAGATCATGACCCGAGTTGAAATCTGAGGCTCAACTGACCGAGCCACCCCAGCGCCCTTTTTGTCGTATTTTTAAATAGAGTTTCTCTGTTAACCCCAATGAAGGCAGTGAGCTACCCCTCCCCAGCTCGCCACACCAATGACTATCAATATAGTAGCTGCTGTTTATTGACAACTTTGTCTTGCCGGGTGCTGGGTTAAGTGCTTTGCACACTTAGCCTTGTTGAGTCATCCCAACTGACCCTGCAATGTGAGAATTTTATTTGCATTTTAAATGGGCTGCCTGATTCAGAGAGTTTAAATTACTGCCCAGGGTCATATAGCTGTTAAGTGGTTCACTCAAACAGATGTCACACTGACTTCAAAACCCAAGCTCTTCTTGGTAGGTTACCCTGCCTTTCCCAGAAAGTGATGAATATGCTTGTATAAATCTACACTGAGTGGGGAGAGCCAGAGGGGATTCGTACATTTCTCCAAACCACTGTGTTTGGAGAAGGTCTTCCATTGAACCAAATTACTTCATTAACAAATTCCATTTGCTCAGTGAGATAGAAACATATTTCATATGTATGTAGAGATGTGTGATACATGCGTATACACATACCCTCTATAACCTAAGGATGCCAAGTGAGTTTTTAATGTTTTTTTTTATCAGTGATCCTAAAAGGTAAGTTAGTATAAAAACAAAACCAGACTTTGTTCATGCAGTGATTAAACTAAAGTTATGTTCTTTGAAATACTTGTAATTATTTTACAATGTAGAGATATACGTGGGTTTTCTAATCCAAATGGATAATAATATGTGAAGATTTTAGGGAGGTGCCTAAGAATTGGTAGACCCTATAAATAACCACAGTCTTTATCTTCGCTCTGAGAGTAATTGACATCCTCAAGTGAGCTTTCACTTATGTGTTCCGACATGCCGTACGTAGTATTTTATTAAAGTATTGGGGCCTTCGAGGGCTGTGTCGGTAGTCTTGGAAAGAGCCTTCATGAGGATAGGAAAGAAAACTTTTTAAGAAGTTTTGAAGGAAAAATGCATTTCTCTCAAAGTTTAAAAGTGAGAAACTGACATATAGTATAAATACTATTGGTGCCTTATTTTACACGTGAGGAATGTGCGCTACAAAGATTGATTATATTCTTTAATTGCCTGAATTTATATGGCTACTGAATGACAGAACCGTGATGAGCCCCAGCTGTCCAGCCCTGGAATCCACGCACTTGCCCACCTTGCCATGTCAGTCAAGGGATAAGTGAGATTTAAAATGGAGATTTTAGGCTGCTGTTGGAACTAGTTTGACTTGTTTAACTTATTGTAAGTGTTGAGGGTTCCGGAATGGTATCCTTTAGCTCTCAGACTGTTTCTTTGAGATCTCTGGGATCTTGTAGCCAAAAACTGTCAGTGAGCTACTAACTTCTTGTGAACTGTGGGATTGTTTGAAGGCTCTGCTCCACTCAGTGTTAATTCAGTTCCTGTTCAATACATCTGAGGTCCGTGAGAGCAGTCAAGGGCCAGGGTAGGGAGTTTAAAAAGGAGCTTGAACACAGAGCGAGTTCTGGAGAATCTTGGGTACATGAGCTGGAAATGAAAGTATATTGTTAAAAATTAGTATTAAAAACTGAATGAGAGCAAAAGCAAGTCCATTCTCTCCTTGTTTTGCTGTATCTTGAATTTTAACCCAAAATGAAATGCAATTTCATGAAACTGATACTTTATCAATTAGATCAAAGAAACTTATTTTGAATGTAACATGTAGAATCATGTTGATAAATATTTATTGAGTTGAATATTGTGGCTTTTTAAACCAAAAGGGTAGGAAAGTTTATGGAGTTTAGCTCCTGAGTACTATGTTAAAGATCCTTCCTTAGCTATTAGACTGTGAGCAAGAAGCCTTCTGATTCCTTGGGAACGTTCTTAGGAATAAAAATCAAGGGTAGCTTTTTTGTTTACATTTCTTAGCAACACATACTTCCTGTAACAATGACTGTCTTGTTAACCTGTATGTTTTAGTGTCAAAAATACATACTGAATATTTTGTGGTACTTTTATTTTTCCAATTGTTGACATGTAGGCCTAAAGTTTTTTTGGGACCCATTTCTTAAACTTACCTTTAAAAAAGTAGAAAGGACACATGAAAGAGAAACATGGTCCACAATTAAACTCTGCAAAGTTTATGAATATATTAATAACCCAATTCTCATTCATATACTGACTTTAAAATATAAACCTTTTCATCTGTGCTTCTTGAAATCATCTTGATTATTTCTGTCCACAAGGATACCATCTTGGGAAGAAACCATATCATATGTCTTAATAACCATAGCATAATAACACATTATTTGAACCTCATATTCAAGATAGGTATGCATATTTATAATAGTCATCTAAAATTTAAAAAATTATGTTGTCTTTTGTAATATGTATTTATTATTTTTAATATTCAGAGATCAGGTTGCAAACCTGTAGGAAAATAATTATACAGTTGCAACAAGTTTTGAATGTATTTTTCACCTTTACTATTTATTAATATGATTAAGAAATGAATAATCAACATTAAAATTAGCATTCCAGCTTCCTGTATTTTTCATACTTGATTTAACTCTCTTAGTGTTGTTAAGTTGTGCTTGTGACAAGCCTCTGTTGAATAAGAAAAAAATAGAGGGATAGGTAGTCATTTCTTAAGAATCTTCATGAGGATTATCTACTTTATGGCTCAGATTTATGTCCTGAGTTGGCTTTTCTTAGTCATCCAGGCCAGGAAACTCTGGCCCCATAATTCAAATTAGTCCAATTTATGTATGTGTCTGAATTTGTGTGTGTACATAATGTATACATGACTATGTCTAAAAGTACAAATCATCAGTAAAATGAGCTGGCCTCAATTTTGAAACCCTAGTTATTATATAGATAACAAAACTGACATTCTAGATTAGTGTGGATAATTGAGCATTGACCACATTACTTGCATTGATCAGCCAAAATTAATTGAGAGCATAATTTGTATTTTCCACAATATTAGACATGACTGTAGTTTCGCAATCAAACTTCTGGAGTCTTTCGATATGGTAGAAAGATTATAACTGAATCATAGCCAGATGAACGTTGGATCTGAGGATTTGGGGTGGGAACAGGGAATTCGACGCTGTCTTTAGTTGCTCATGTTCATTTCTGTGATCTCATCCACTGAAATTGTAAACTGATCTTGTAAATCTTTTCTGTAGGAAATTTTGGGAGCGGTTTATTGCCCTGTGTCATGAAAATAATAGCCTGCATGGAATCACTTTTGAACAGATCAAAGCTCAGCTAGAGGCTTTAGAACTAAAGAAGACGTATGTGTTGAATCCACTGGCACCTGAATTTATCCCCCGGGCTCTAAGACTGCAGCATTCAGGAAATACCAACAAACTGCAGCAGTCACCCCCCAAGGTAAAGCCTGTTCACGGAATTGAAGAGGTTAAAGGGAGAGAACAGCCCAGAAGGGTCAAAGGTTTATTGCGCTGCAAGTTACTTTAAGTATTGGAAATGAAGGTTACATTTGCTGGCAAGCAGTTTCTGCAAGGAACATGTCGAGTTTGGACATGTAGGTGAAGACGTGGTGGTTAGCCATGCTCAATGTCACGGTCCTCCTCAAAGTTTTCAAGAACCTTATTGCTTCTGGTGTCTGTCTGCCTCCCAATCCTCTCTGCTGATAGACTTATTTCAGTAAGATATGAATAAAACAAAGCAGTTTAAAGGACTTTCAGGCTCATTAAAAGCATGCCCTTATAGCATATTATTTACAAGGAATAATGTTATATAACATTGTTTGTAGAAAGCAAATACTTCTAATCCTTTGTTGATGACCAGTTCAAGTGGTATCTGACAGCGAGAAGATTTGGTTAACTTCTTGAAGATTACTTGAACTGCTCTGACCTGTATATGTTGTATAAGAAGTAGTCCATCAGAGGGAATGGAGGTGGGTCGGCCAGGGCCATTTCTGCTTTTGAACCATAGTTATTTTGGGCAGACAGCTGGTTTATTTGCTACAGAGCCTGAAAAAAATATGCTCGCACTTACCATAGAAAAGAAAGTTATGAGAATGGTATGTTTAGTATTCTTTTGTTTTGGTATATTTATAATCATCAGCATGGTATTAAATTTATTGACATGAAGTAAAAGAATATGCCACTTTGAGGCTTCATTTTAAAAATGTAAAACCCTGGGGCGCCTGGGTGGCTCAGTCAGTTAAGCATCTGACTCTTGATTTCGGCTCAGGTCCTGAGCTCACGGTTCGTGAGTTTTAGCACAGAACCTGCTTGGGATTCTCTCCGTCTTCTCTCCTTCTCTCTCTGCCCCTCCTCCTGCTCCCACTCACATGTGTGCTCTGTCTCAAAATAAATATAGAAACGTAAAAAAAAATTAAAAAATAAAACTTGATGTAAACAGCAGGTAAACAATAGTCAATGTTTTAATATCTTGAAAATCTTTTGGGAAAACAGAGATTAAGCTGAGAAGAGAATGTCTGTGTTACTATACTGTTGAATGTTATTAGTTTAATGGAAATGGACCTAAGGTGCAATAACGCTTTAGCGATTTGGGATTTCCAGGGGATTAAGCACTTTGCATAAATGAATCTTGTAGGTTTCTAAAGCTTAAACTATTAACAAATTTATAATCAACTTATTTGTCAAAGAGTTAAGTTTCTTCTGTGTGCCCGCTGCTGTGGTGGGTGCTCGAGAAACACAGATCAGACGTTAGCCCCCTTGTCCCCTTGGGGCAGAGGTCGGAGGTGGTGGTCAGAGGGAAGAGGTGGATTCAAGGCATTTTCCACCACAGAGATCTTGTTTTTAGGAGTCACTGAGTGCAGGGGGGCGGGGGGTGGGGGGGGTGGGTAATGCTTCACATTGAGACATTTCAAGAACTAGAAATATTCCTAGTAGGACAGAGATTTTTGCCTGTGTTATTTACTGCTCTAGCTTCTGTGCCTAGAACAACATCTGGCTCATCATAGGTGGCTTGTAAGTGTTTTTTGGGTGAATTAATAAAACTTAAGGAAGAGCCAACAGAGAAGACCAGAGGTATGAGAGAATAGGTTCTGCAGGGACCAGCAAGGAGTTGAGGGTGTGTGGGGAGGAGGGAACCCAGGTAAAAACTTTTATCTTTTCCTGTTTTTTGTTTTGTTTTGTTTTGTTTTTTTAAATTAAAACGTTGCAAAATCATTATACCCTTTGCACATCCCTAAGTATAATAGAGCAAACTCTTCTTACTTGCTGACTCGAGAATGTAGGCATCAATATATGTACGACAGGTGCAGCCGGATTCAAGCCACGGTGCACACGTGCACGGACCCGAAGCAAGATCCTGCAGCTTGCTTTTTGTTTTCATTTTAAAGGTGAAGAAAATATATGTTTAATCCACTTGCTCTTCTAAAGCCATAAACTCCCTGGAGACAGAAATCTTATTCTATATACTTTTTATGGCCCCTAGTGCCTACCGGCTCTCTTTGCATGTGGTGGGTGCTCAGCATCTGAGAAATAAATAATGGTTATGGTGCAGCAGAGTGTAGTGTGGCTTTTTTCTTGTAATGGAGAGGATTGTGTAATTAAAGGCCAAAGCAGACATCTTCCTGGAGTTGTTGTTTGTTTGTTTTTTTTAACTTTTTAGAAAATATTCTTTACTGATCCAACAGATACTATCTGTTGTTTCTTTTCTTTCTTCTTCTTCTTTTTTAAAATATTTATTTATTTATTTTGAGAGAGAGGGAGATTGTGAGGTGGGGAGATGCAGAGAGAGAGGGAGAAAGAATCAACGCAGAGCCCAGCTCAGGGCTCCATCCCATGAACCGTGAGATCATGACCTTAGCTGAAGCCAAGAGGTTGGTGCTCAATGGACTGAACCACGCAGGCACCCCAGTTATCAACTTAATCTTTAAAAAAATTTTTTTAAGTGTTTTATTTATTTCTGAGAGAGAGAGAGAGACAGCGTGAGCAGGGGAGGGTCAGAGAGAGAGAGAGAGAGGGAGATACAGAATCTAAATCAGGCTCCAGGCTCTGAGCTGTCAGCACAGAGCCTGACGCGGGGCTTGAACCCACAAACCGTGAGATCATGACCTGAGCCGAAGTGGGACACTTAACTGACTGAGCCACCCAGGCACCCCAATTTAATCTTAATCTTGTCTCATCTACAAACCACCCCTCCCCCTCTCCCACACTGAAATGTGCGATATGTTTTTAAATATTTTTTTAACATTTATTTAATTTTGAGAGATAGAGAGAGACAGTATGAGTAAGGGAGGGGCAGAGAGAGAGGGAGGCACAGAATGCGAAGCAGGCTCCAGGCTCTGAGCTAGCTGTCAGCACAGAGCCAGATACAGGGCTCGAACTCATGAATGTGAGATCATGACCTGAGCTGAAGTGGGACGCTCAACTGACTGAGCCACCCAGGCGCACCGAGTGTCTCACTCTTGATTTTGGCTCAGGTCACGATCCCAGGGTTGTGGGATTGAGCCCTGCATCAGACTCCTCACTGAACGTGAAACACACTTAAGATTCTCTCTCTCTCCCTCTGTCCCTTTCCCCAGCTTGCATGTGCTTTCTCTCTCTCCCTCCCTCTCTCTCTCTAATTAAAAAAAAAAAAAAATATGAGCTATATTTGCTTATAAAAATACTTTTGGTAGAATCCTTACCACTTCCTCGGAAGTTTGTTTTTTTATACTTTGATGTACTTTCTGAGATTTATTAGCAAACTTTTGGATTTGTCCCAGCAGAATGACTTTTATACATAGCGCTAGCTTACTGCTACATTATTATTTTGTTTATAAGCTATTAAACACAGTGGACCACGTACACTTGCTGCTCTACAGCTGCATGCTAAGTCCAAGCATCCTAGAAAAGCGTTTCCTCTATTGAGTTGTACGGTGTGCTGAACTAGGCTTAGAGAGGCGCCGTGCTTTCACACGCTAGGTCCCCAGTTGCTTTTCAGAGTAGTGTATATCCCACAACCACAGGGCCTATGTTATTGTCTGGTGTGCTTTCAGCCTCACAGGATGGGGTTACCTAGACTATGGTCACTCTTTGAATTGGTTTCCTGTTGTTGCTGCAACAAATTAGGACAAACTTAGTGACTTAAACAACACAAATTTATCATCTCACATTTCTTTGGGTCAAATGTCTAGGTTGCCACAGTCGGTTTCTCAGCTTTTGGTTTCACAAGGCCTGGGTCACGCTGTTGGCCAACTGGCCTCCTCTCTGGATGTTCTGGGAGGAATCTGCTTCTGAGTGAGGTTCTTGTCTCCTTGACTGCTGTCAGTGGGGAGTGCTCTTAGTTTCTGGAGGCTTCTCTTCCGTTCTTGTATTTGGCCTTTCTGTCTCAGAGCCTCCAATATACACTGAGTCCTTCTCTCCCTTGGAGTGTCTGGCTTCCTCTTCTGCCACATCCGTTTGACTCCAGCTGGGGAAACTTGTCTGCTTTTAAGGCTCATGTGGTGCGAGTGGCTCAGGTAACCCAGGTGATCCAGGATAGTCTCTTTATTTTAAACACAACTTTGGTTATATTTACAGAGTCCCTTTTGCCACATAACATGACATAGTCACAGATTCCAGGGATCCGGGTGTGGACATCTTTCAGAGGCCGTTCTTCCTACCACACTCTGACCACATCACTTTTCCCCCTCATTCTGCACGATTTGCCCCTGGTTGACGGCTCATTAGAGGCTGAGAAACCTAAATGGCTTACTGCCCTCTTGGAATGATCTTACTTTCTGTCTGTGTCACTGGCTCTGCTTTCTCCCGTCATTGTGTGTGTCCCGGCTGCTCTGGTCACTTCTGACCGCTTCTGCTTCTCGTCTTGCCACCTGCTTCGGGCACCCCTGCTGCCTGCCATTTTCACCTTTGAACTCTTCGCCTTGGGCCCTGCTTTCCTTACCGCTTCTCTGTGCCTCGGACGTTTGTTCTTTATAGCTAGTGCCAGTCACCGGGAACGCCGTCTTCTGCCTAATGGACCAACTGCGGTTCATTTTTGACTGTTTTTTTTTTTTTTTTCCCCTGACTTTTTAAGAGTTGGAGCTTCACTGCCCCTGCCTGCTCATAAGTAACCTAACTGACCACACGCCTTTGATGTTTGGTGCCGACCTGAATCCGTAACGTTGACGGGGACATAAATGAAGCATCACTGTACTTTTACTTCGGTCAAGAATAATTTTTTCTTTCTGTTATAGCTGTCCCCTCTCCCCCACTTTAATTTTCAGATGTTAAGTACAAATAACAGGTCTGTGTGTGTCGAGGGGTACGTTGTATAATGTGCTACTTGCATCATGGCTTTGTGTTAACATTTAGCCAAGAGAAAGAGAGAGACTTTTTTTAAAGTCCAGAAATTCAGAACCATTGTCTCTTCAAATATTGTTTCTGTGCTAAAGTCATCCCATTTAATGGCATAGGAATCTGGCATTACTTATGTAATAAATCTTCATTTGATGAACATTGAGGTTGTTAATATTTAACACATGTATAAACAATGCTGTGATGAACATCTATGCCCAAATCCATTATTAGTTCATTTTGACTAATTCCTGGAAGTGTAATCTTTGGATTAAAGTGTGTGTACATTTTTAATGTTTTTGATAGTATCGCCAAATTGCTTTCTAGAAAATGTGTACGTTTTCTTTTCTTTTTTTAGAAACAGACTTAAAAAAAAAAGTTTATTTATTTAGAGAGAGAGGGCACTAGTGGGGAAGGAACTGAGAGTGATACAGAGAGAATCCCAAGCAGGCTCCGCGCTGTCAGCACAGAGGACACGGGGCTCCATCTCACGAACCGGGAGATGGTGACCTGAGCTGAAACCGAGAGTTGGATGCTTAACCAACTGAGCCACCAGGCCTCCCAATTTGTACATTTTCTTGAGCAGATTATGAGTCAGTGTCTTTTCTTGTTCCTTCAGTAAATTTTACACTTTAAGATGCCTCCAAATAAGTCTCAAAATAACATAAATCTCAAGCCATATTTATTTACCTCCATACTATTTTAAAGGTTCTCATCCTCAGAAATTTCAGTTCCATCAAGACTGATGTTTTTCCCTTGAAAAACGGCTTTTTATTTTGTCATTTAAGTAATAGAAAATGTGTAGAGAAGCTGCAAAGGAATAGAATTTGGTGTCCAGTCACATTATGTATTTCTTTTTTAAAAAATTATTTACTTTTATTTTAAAATGTTTGTTAGTTTTGGGAGAGAGTGCGTGTGCGCAAGTGTGAGATCATGACTGGGGGAGGGGCAGTGGGAGAGAGAGACAGAGAGATAGAGTCCCAAGCAGGGTCCACACTGTTAGTGTAGAGCCCGACACGGGCCTTGATCCCATGTACTGTGAGAGCATGACCTGAGCCAAAATCCGGAGTAAGATGCTTAACCGACTGAGCCACCCAAGCACCCCTAAAAAATGATTTAAGAATTTTAGATACTCTTAATTTGAAGCTGAGAAAAATTGAGGCCTGGCACCATGACTTAATATTTAAAAAAAGTTGGCTCAAAGCAGTCTAATGGTTATTAATTACAGACTTGCAGTCTTTAAATTGTATTTGTTGCTGGATATATTTAATTTGCATAGGATTAGGGAAGTAGTTAATGTTCTCCTAATATTAAATGTGTTTATAGTATTATATATTTGTTTTTTTTCTCTATAAAGGGGAAGAGCCTCCATCATACCCAGAACGACCATTTCCAGAATGATGGAATTGGTAAGTGGAAAATTAGCCCTGTGATAAATTGCTTTTATGGTATAAGAGGTTTACTCTAAATTTCATCACTAGAAAGAGATGGGAGATTGGGAGAGGATACACACATGCACGCGTGCACACACACACACTTTGGAACTCACTTAACCTCTTTTATTCAGCACATCTGGTCTTGTGAATGCTTTGTTATGCCATTTCTGAAAACACATGGTTTTGTCGGTACCAAGGCTTATGTATTTAGAAGTGTTGAAGAACACCATTTAAGCCTATGCAACAGAAGTTTTGCAGCATATTTATGTCCTACAAATGTTGGGTCATTGACATTTCAAGATAAAGTTTGCTTCAGTGATTTAAAATGTTGCAGAATTATGCTTTTAACATATTAATTGCTTAATCCTCATTTTGTCTGTGACTGTATTACAATTGCATGCCAAAACTCTATTGTGAAGATATGTGCATATTTTTTCCCTAGTCTTAGAAGAATGTTCATTGAGTGTGTGTGGTTTTCTCTCTTGAAAGAACCCACCTCTAGCTCCTAGGGAGACATTAAAATTATACTAGTTTACAAAAAGAATCCTCAGTAGATCTTAAACTGATTTTAGGGAACACTGTAAGATGGTTGTGTTGTTTTTTTTTTAATATGCTTTTCTCTTCCACACTGATAATTCTTTGGTTTTATCTTATGGCAAACCTGGGAAGTGTGTTTTGCTGTTGGTGATGTAAATTATTTTTGTCTAGGGGAATGTGTACAGTTACTAAGTGAGTCCTTTCTCTTGTTTATTTTTCAGTTCAGCCCAATCCTTCTGTACTTATTGGCAATCCTATTAGAGCATATACTCCTCCACCCCCTCTTGGACCTCACCCAAATTTGGGGAAATCTCCAAGCCCTGTTCAGAGAATAGATCCTCACACTGGGACAAGTATTCTTTATGTACCTGCTGTCTATGGAGGGAATGTAGTTATGTCGGTGCCTTTACCTGTAAGTAGACATATGAGATCCTATTTATTGAATAAAATAAAATAAGCTTCGCTAAATTAGTAACTGTCTCAAATAGTGTTTTTTTTAAACTTTTCAATGCCTGTCAGCTTCTTTTAAAGCAGCTCTTTCTTTAACCTTCAAAGTTTGAAATGACCAGAGAAATGTAAATTGTTGCTTATCGTCAGTTGCTATGAAGAAATTTGTATATTGGATGTTTTCATTGAGAAGCTTTTGTATTCTTTTAAAAATACTTGTGCTGGGGAAAATTGGCCTAAACGGTAAACACAGCTAGTAAATTGGCCTCTTGTTTTGTAAAGTGATACTTTTATTTTATCTTTTACTTTTTTTCCTTACATAATTCACTAACCCTTCCTAGGAAATACAGTGTTTTGGAGGCGGCTTGGATTAGTCTAGCTCTCCGGACCTGAATTTATCTGAGAAATTTCAATCCTTTCATAATCTTACTGGTACTTAAAAACATAATTAAATCCTTTCTGAGACTATAGATATTTAGAGGGCTTCCATCTTATGTAAAACCCATTTTTATTCCTTTAAGATTTTTAAAATATTTTGGTGATTTTTTTTATACTAATATTTCCAAATTCAGAAATTTTATCCTAGAAAATATTTCTTGCATTTAAGGCAAATATTATCATTTCAAGCAGAGGTGATTACTGCCAGGGGTTTTTGCCACCCCCCACCCCCACCCCCAAAATGGAAAAATGCGTAGCCGTACACCTTTCTCAGCCATATTGATAATGATAGTTTACAATTACAACAGCCAACGAGAATAGTTGTCAGTAAGAAATATGTAATTCATGCCCACTCCCCAAAAGACTTTCAATTTTAGCTGACTTATTTCTTCCCAGACAGCCTGGCAACATCATACATCATTTGCTTTAAATAGTAAGTCCCTTAGGATTTATATTTCATTTTGTTAGGCCAGAGAGGCTTTTATTATATAAGATTTTTAAGAGTCTGCATTTAACAGTTATACTATAATAAGATAATAAGGGCTTTAGCTCTCATGGCATTTATCCTTTTATGTTAGTATGCAGAAATTATGTATTTAGATATACCTAAAGAAATATTCTAGTTCTGTGGTTTAAGGGAATAGTTGAATTAATCAAAAGAATTGATTCAAACTAATGACCTGTTTGAATTTTGCCTACAATCAATAAACATTAAATGATTTGATTCCTGTAAAGTGGGAGTGTGTATATTTCATGTTGAGACTCCTTAGACTAAATTCTTTAACTTTTTCTCTTGTTCTCTCATTTAATCTATTAAACTATGTAACTCTGCAGTTACAACTTTAAAAGATAACTTTCTTGGTAATATATGTCATGTATATATTCATATTGAAGGGAAATTATTTCAGATTATAAAATAAGTTAATGCGTCAAGGAATAATTACAAATTTTATGTCCTCAGTTTCTTCCTAAACTGAAAAATGACCAATTAAATCCCTACACACTAAAGATTCAGGGAGCCAGTTTGGAAGTCAATTCTTGACTAGTTAAGATATAGCAATAATTCTACCAGTTGTTAGAACTAGCATTGACCTTGTGGTTACTTATTTTGATAAAATTAATATCTCTGTGTGTGTTTGCTTTTTCCTAATCTATAGCACTATAGCAGTTTGCCTTTCAAAATGCACATAATGCCGTTATTCTGTTTCTTGTGATAACGTAGGTGCCATGGACAGGGTACCAGGGCAGGTTTGCAGTTGATCCTCGGATCCTTACACACCAGGCAGCGATGGCCTACAATATGAACCTCTTACAGACACACGGACGGGGGTCTCCCCTACCGTATGGCCTTGGGCACCACCCACCCGTCAGCATAGCCCAGCCACAAAGCCAGCATCAGGAGAAGGATCAACACGAGCCAAGTCGAAATGGTGAGCTGCTTTGCTGTTCTCGTGATCCTAAAATGATGATACGCCTACTTGTATCTTTTAACATGATAACTTGTTCGTGGATTGTAGAACTCTTTGAGAAAGAATCTGTGTAAAAACTGTGGATCTTCAGAAGATACAAGTATGTACACAAATAAAATGTGCATGATATAATCAGTAGTACCAATTTTCTGAAAAATACCAAATTTTAATATTTAGAGTGATTTAAAGGATAGTTATTTAAAATTGAGACAGAAAATTCTCTCCTGTTAAGTATATTTATCGACCAAAATTATTTTTATAGTATACTAAACATAGATGCTACTGTGCTAATAGTTGACTTAACATAGTTATATCTTCTATAAATTATAATCTCCTGTGTACCTGAAGGAAAAATTACCCAGTCTTTTAAAGTTCATTTATTTCATTTTATTTTTTATTATATATTTATATATTAAAGATTTTTTGGGTTTTATTTACTTAGAGACAGACAGACAGCATGCAAGTGGGACAGGAGCAGACAGGAAGGGGGGGAGGGAGGGTGGGAGGAGGAGAATCGCAAGAGAGGGAGAGGGAGAATTGCTAACAGCCCAGAGTCAGATGCAGGGCTTGAACTCACAAACCATGAAATCATGGCCTGCGCAGAAGTTGGATGCTTAACTGACTGAGCCACCCAGGTACCCCTATTTATTTATTTTTGAGAGAGAGAGAGAGAGAGAGAGACAAAGCGCATGTGTGTGTAAGCATGCGAGCAGGAGAGGGGCAGAGAGAGAGAGAGAGGGGGAGGGAGAGAATTCCAGGCAGGCTCTGTGCTATTAGCGCAAAGCTCAATTTTGGGCTCAAACCCACAAACCATGAGATATGACGTGAACCAAAATCAAGAATTGGACACTTAATCAACTGAACCACCCAGGCTTCCCACTCAGTCTGTTTTTTAAAGTCAGGTTTACTGAGGTATAATTTATATAATGTAAAATTTACTTTTAAAGTGTACAGCTGATGTGTTTTGACAGATGTACAGAGTTGCTAACCACCACCAGAATCAAGACACAGGATGTTTACATAACTTAGAATATTCTCTCATATCCTTTCGTAGTCTGTCTTCTCCTCCAGCCCCCGACCATTGGTAACCACCAAGGCTGTACTGTTTACTTTGCCTCTGTACTCTTCTCTTTACACCCAGTATGTCTCATAAATGGAATCATAGAGTATATGGCTTTTTTGTGTCCAGCTTCATTTACTTAATGCTTTTGAGATTCATTTATGTGTTCTGTGTCAATAGTTTGTGCCTTTTTACTGTTGATTAGTATTCTATTATATGGATGCACTACAGTGTTTTTATCTATCGTCAGTTGATGGACACCTTAGTTATTTCTGTTTTTTGGCTCTTATGAGTAGAGCAACTGTGAACATATGTTTTCATTTCTCTTGAGTGTATATACCCAGGAGTAAGATTGCTGAGCATATTGTAGATATATAGGTAACTTTATAATAAATTGCCATGCTGTTTTCCAAAGTGGCCAATGCATTTTTCATTTCAACTAGTAATGTATGAGATTTCTAGCTGTTGCACATTCTCATCAACACTTGGTATTGGTCTTTTTACTTTTACCTCTGCTAGAAAGTATCTGATTGTGGTGTTATTTGCATGTTCCTAATGACTAACAATGTTGAATATCTTTTCACTGGGTTCATTTGCCCTCTCTGTAAATTTTTTTTTTTAATGTTTATGGGGGGGAGGGGGCACAGAATCCAAAGCAGGCTCCAGGGCTCTGAGCTGTCAGCACAGAGCCCAACCTGGGGCTCGAACTCACAAACTATGAGATCATGACCTGAGCCAAAATTGGTGCTTCTGGTGACCCTAGAAGTTTCTACTTTTGATAAAATTTAGTTTATTCTTTTTTTTTTTTGATTCATGTTTTTGTTGGTGGTGGTGAAATTTTTCTTGTCTGATCCAAGATCACAAAGATCTGTGTTTTTTCCCCTAGAAATGTCGTAGTTTTATGGACCTCACATCAGGTCCGTTTTGAATTAAGTGTTATATGTGGTATGAGGTAAGAATGTTTTTGTTTTCTTTTTGCCTGTGTATGTTCATTTGTTCTAGCACTATTTGTTGAAAACACTGTCCTTCCTCCATTAAGCTAACTTGGTGCCTTTGTTGAAAATCAGTTGATCACATACATGAAGTTTCTGTTCTGTTCTGTTGAAGCACATGTTCGTGTGTGTGCCCAGTGTGCTCTCGATTCCTGTAGCTTCATAAAAGTCTAGGCACCAGGTACTGTGAGTTTTCCAACTTTGTTTTTCTTTTTCAAAACTGTCTATTCCAGGTCCTTTGCATTTTCCACATGTATTTTACAATCAGCCTGCCTGTTTCTGCAAAAAATCCTGCTGGCATTTTGATTGGGATTATGTTGAATCTGTAGGCCAATGTGGGGAGGATTGACATTTTAACAAGACTGAGTCTTCTGATACATGAACAGGATATCTCTCTCTGTTTCTGTCTCTTTTTTTTAAGGACACACTTAAAAAAATGTTTTTTAATATTTGTTTATTTTTTACGAGAGAAAGAAAAAGAAAGAAATCCAAAGCAGTCTCCATGCTGTCAGCACAGGCAGGGCTCGAGCACACGAACTCTGAGATCATGACCTGAGCCAAAACCAAGAGTTGGAGGCTCAGCCAACTGAGTCACCCAGACACCTTACTCTCAGTTTCTCTCTTTTTAAAAAAAGTTTTCAGTATACCACTCTTGCACATGTTTTGTTAGGGTGAAAGCTTAGATTAATACAGGTATTTAGTTTTATAATTTTCCTTCTCAGTAGTGCATCCCACAAATTCTGATGTATTTTTGTTTTATTCAGTTGAGTACACCTTTTTTTTAAGTTTATTTACTTAGGTTTCTGTGAGAGAGAGAGAGAGCGCGCGTGCAAGGGAGGGGCAAAGAAACAGGGAGAGAGAATCCTGAGCAGGTTTCATGCTTTCAGTGCAGAGCCCAGTGCAGGCCTTGAACCCACAAACTGTGATCATGACCTGAGCTGAAGTCATGAGTCAGACTCTTAACCGACTGAGCCACGCAGGTGCCCCTTAAGTACACTTTCTAATTTCACTTGCAATTAGATCCATGGAATGTTTAGAAAGATGAGTTTTAGTTTCCAGTTATTGAGGATCTTCTAAGAATTTTTATGTTATTGATTTCTCCTTTGATTCCATTGTGGTAAGAAAACATATTTTATATGACTCAAACTCTTTACAATTTATTAAGATTTGTTTTATGGTCTAGAATATGGTGTATCTTTGTGAATGTTCCATGTGCACTTGAGGAGAATGGAGTACTCTATAAATGTTACTCAGGTCAAGTTGATTGATAGAATTGTTCATATGTACTATATTATTGCTGATTTTCTGGCTACTTTTTAAAAAATATGTACTGAGAGGAGAATATTGAAATCTCCAAATACAATTGGTATTTGTCTGTTTTTCCTTTAAATTTTGCTTGATTAATTTTGAAGTTCTGTTACTAGGAGCATAACCATTTAGGATTATGTGCTCTTGATTAATGAACTCTTGTCTTTTTTTGAATGATATTCGTTATTCCTGTAAGTAGTCTTTGCTCAGAGGTCTGCTTTGCTTAATATCTAATGTAACTACTTTAACTGTATTTTGACTATTGGTAGTGTGGTATATATTTTTTGACCTATTTTAATCTTTTTGTGTTCTTATATTTATTTTTTTAATTTTTAAATGTTTGTTTATTTTTGAGGGGGTGGGGAGGGAGAGGGGTAGATAGAGAGAGAGACACAGAATCCAAAGCAAGCTCCAGGTTCCGAGCTATCAGCACAGAGCCTGATATGCAAGGCTTAAACTTGTGAACCATGAGATCATTACCTGAGATGAAGTCGGATGCTTAAACGACTGAGCCACCCCAGGTGCCCCGATTTGTGTCTTTATATTTAAAGTGCATTTCTTCTTAAATTTTTGTTTGTTTATTAGAGAGAGAGAGCGGAAGGGGCAGAGAGCGAGAGAGACACAGAATCCAAAGTGGGTTCCAGTTTCTGAGCTGCCAGCACAGAGCCTGACGTGGGGCTCCATCCCACAAACTGTGAGATCATGGCCTGAGCCGAAATCAAGAGTTGGATGGAAATCAAGAGCCGAATGAGCCACCCAGGCGCCCCTTGATGTTTTGTTTTAATTCAGTGTGACAATCTCTGTCTTTTCATTGGGGTGTTTAGACCATTTATAATTAATGTAATTATATCATGTAATTATATCATCTTGCTTTCTATTTTTAATTAGTCCAGTCTTTTTTTGTTTCTTCTTGCCTTTTTTTCCTGTCTTGGATTAGCTGAATATTTTTTATGATTCCATTTTATCTCCTTTTTTGATTATTAGCTATAACTCTTCATTATTTTAGTCTTTGCTTTAGAGTCCATAGTATACATCTTTATCACAGATTCCTTTCCAAATTATATTTTACCGCTTCATGTACAGCAAAAGAACATTCTAATATTTCAATTTATCTTCTTCTGGCCTTTATGATATTATCTTCATGCATTTTACTTTCACATATGTTATAAGGCCAAATATTTTTATTATTTACACAGCCAAATAACTTTTTAAAGAGGTTCAGGTGCGTCTGGGTGGCTCAGTCAGTTAAGCGTCTGACACTTGCTTTTGGTTTAGGTCATGATCTCATGGATTTGTGAGCTCGAGCCCTGCATGGGCTCTTTCCTGACGTCGTGGACTCTGCTTGTGATTCTCCCTTTTTTTCTTCCCCTTCCCTGCTCGCACTGTCTATTTCAGAAGAAATAAGTAAACTTAAAAAAATAAAATAAAGAGTTTTAAGTAACAAGAAAAATAATTTTTCGTATCTATCCATGTAGGTAGTATTTCTGGTAGTCTTTATTTCTTTCTGTATATTCATGTTTCCATCTGATACAATTTTCCTTCTGCCTGAAGGACTTCTTCTAACATTGCTTGTAGTGTAGATCTACTGGTTTCGAATTCTTGCAGCATCTGTATGCCTGAATATATGCTTGTTTCACTTTCATTTTTCAAAGAAGATATTTGTGCAAGGTATAGAATTCATGGTTGACAATTTTTATTTTTCAGCACTTTAATGATGTTACTCTGTTGTTTTCTTGCTTGCAGTGTTTCTATTGAGAAATCTGATGTCATTTTGTCTTTGTTTTTCTATATGTATTGTGACCCACCCCCCCCACCCCTCCCAGACTGCTTTTATGAGTTTCTTTTTATGCTAGTTTTAGTAGATTGATTATGCTATTCCTTGGTGTAGTTGTCTTTATGCCTCTTGTGTTTGGGGTTTGTTGAGCTTCTTGGATCTGTGGATTTATTTGGACTAAAGTTTGGAAACTTTTGACCTTTATTTCTTAAGATATTTTTTGTCTTGCTTCTCCTCTCTTCAAGAATGCCAACTACCCAGATATTAGGCTGATTAAAATTTCCCCACAGTTCATGGATGCACTTGCCTTTTTTTCCCTTTTTTAATTCTTTTTTTTCCCTTTTATGTTTCATTTTGTACACGTCTATTGCTATGTCTATTGCTGTGCCTCAAATTTACTAAGTTTTTATTCTGCAGTGTCTAATCTGTTAGTCCTACCTAGTGTATTTTTCATCTTCAGACATTGTAGTTTTCATTTCTTGAAGTTTAGTAAGGATATTTTGGCATGAGAATTCATTTTACAGAGTTCCAGTGGCTTTCCTAAAAGAGAGTTTTCAAACTAGAACCCAAATCAAGGATTTTTTCAAGGAATTTAAAGTATCCAACAGTTAATTCTTATAGATTAAAATTCCTTCATGTGTGAAATAGCATTATTTAATTCGGTTATAATTGTGATCTTTTTTAAAAAACACCTTCTTAATTTTGCTTCCTTTAGTATTTCTCATTCACTTATATTTCATTTGCTATCTTTTAAGCAGTATAACTACACTCCTTTCATAATGTCTTTATTCAGTTTAAATTTCTTTACTAATTTGGATTTTTGCTTAATTATATTTGTAAATGGCCAAAGCATTGAGCCTTTATAAGTAGTCAAGAATTTCAGCACCTTTTCTATGATTAGTTTAGGAAAACGAGGCTACAAAACCCTGGAGAACGGGCAATTATCTTTGAAATTATTTTATGTTTTAAGGTTATTCCTTTATTAAGCTTTTGTCTTGATAATGAGGTTTGCTTTAATTATAAATTTTCTTTCTTGCAGGGAAACTACAACCCTCAAACTTCAGAAAAAAAAAAAACCCAACCAATAATATAAATTGATATATAATAGGTGAAAAATGTTCAAAATATTCTGCTTCTGTCTAATAATGGTTAGTCATTGGAAATGTAACATCCATTGGAGACAATTTATAAAAATTTAAAAATATTTTCTTAGGTAAATGTGATACCAATAATCCTGGACCTGAAATTAATAAGATTCGAACACCAGAGAAAAAGCCTACAGAATCAAAACAGGTATGCTGTTTACATTTAGTGAATGCATTGTCCTAATGGATTTCAGTCTGGTGATCGTCTTGGAATGTTGATGTTTTAAAGAAAATTTACTGTTTTTATGTATAGCTTTTATGTTGATTGTTTCATGAGGATCTGGTGGGTCGTGTTATCCTCTCTCCCTTCACCTTTCCTTTGGCTATTACTTGCTTTATCCATATACTTTCCTCCAGTTGTTATTCAGTGCTAGACTTGAATGTAGAGCCTTTGTATGATCAAGTAGTAAGTGAAAACACAGCTATAGACGTGTCATTGAAAATAATCTCAGGATGGAAAGAACTGTTCTGGTGAAGAAGGAAGACTTAACTTCCTTAAGTCGCTCACCTTGTTCTCTCACCACATCTACTATATAAGTCCTTAATTTTTTTTTTTAAGATCATAGTTGACACACAACATTATATTAATTTCAGGTATACATACACATAGTGATTCGATGAGTCTGTCTTATGCTCTGCGATTCGATGAGTCTGTCTTATGCTCTGCTTACCACAGTGTAATTACTCTCTTGTCACCATACAGCACTGTTACAATACCACTGGCTGTATTCTCTGTCTGTGTCTTTTATCCCCATGATTTATTCATTTCGTAACTAATTCTGAACTCTTAAGCTGCCCGTTCATCTACTTTCTTTGCTTTTGTGCTTGTGAACCAGTTAGGGAAAACCAAATCATTGGTTGAATTACTGCCAGTGGAAATTAGTATTTTCTGATCTCATTCTTTTCCATGTACCTAGCTTCCTTTGCCCTGTTTCTCAGCAGCTCTTCTCACGCCTGATACCTTCTACCTGCAGTTAAGATCAGGAGATGATCTTGCCTTAGAGTTACCGCATCAGGATTTCACCCTGTTAACTTAAAACCTTAGACTCAGCACCTTTTCTTTGCACATCCTTGTTTTCTCGTTACCACAGAAGAGTCTGGTAGAAGGGAAGGAGTTTCCTTTGAGACTACTCTCTCCTCTGGTCACCTCATGGACCTTGTCCTTTCTCCTCAGTTATCTTTAAATTCTTTCCAGTTCCTAGTTCTTCCTTCTCAGCCAGTAAGTAAATTGACTGATAGACCATTTTTTTAAAAGACACTTTCTTTTTAACCTTCATCTCCTTTATAGTTTCCCCAGTTCACCTTTCCACCTCATCTCTTATTTGCCCCTTAACCAACACAGCCTCGTATTCGGCTTTGACATTCACTGAAACTATTGAGCTTCAAGTGAGCAGATTTTACGAACAGACGCCTGTTGTATAGTCTCACTTGTCTTTTCTCTGGTATTTGTTTGGCTCTATTTTCTGCTTCATTCTTCTTGACCATTTTGTTCTTTTGGTTTCTTTACATTTCTACTTTTAACAGCTTTTATAAGTTCCTGTCCACCCCCTTCCCATCTGTCCCTCATCCTTATATTGGGCTTTCCCAAGCTTCTGTCACTGTCCTACACACCTCTCTGCATTCTATGATTTCTTACTATTAGCTAGGTCAGTTCCATCGTTTTAAATCTCTGCTGCGTGACACTGACTTCCGAATCTGTATTTCTGACCTTGGCTTGCTTTAGGCAGCCGTTCTCCGTACTTAGTGACTTCTGTCCCATAAGTAGCTCTGTCTGACAGTTTCTACCACCGCAGGGACTTACTGCCTTCTGGAGGAGCGCACCTGAGGCTGCCAGTGGCGCCTCCTGGTCCAGTCTGGGGGGTGGTGGGGGCTGCGGGGCAGTTAGAAGTTCTGTGTGTTTGGAAAGGGATGCAGGGAGAGAACAGGTGGCATGTGGGGATGCCGTGGCTGCCCGTGCCGTCAGGGGCAGCACCAGATAAAACCCACCGCAGGAGCCCTGGGTGCTCTGGGAGTGACTGAAGCCGAGATAGTGAAGCATCTCTCGTGTTCTTGTTTTTAAATTTCTCTTATGTTCTTTCCCTGTCCAGGAACTAGGCAGCCTAACAGACATGTTTCATTTCGGTCCACTCTGATGCTTTGTCCTGGGGCCTCGGGGAAAATCAGTTCCTGGCTGTCTTTGACTCAGTGCCTTAGTATTAAGAGGAAGGTGATGAGGGTAATCTAATTCTGATATAGTGTTCTCCAGTTTTCTCCAACATTACAGTCCTCTAGCCTGCTTAACCTACTGTGGTATCAAACAGTAGCACTGTCTGATTAGGTTCCTATGACTGGCCTAGCTTCCTGTCCATGTCAAAGTCAGAAGTGAAGGAGGCAGCTTATCCACAGACCACCTTGACATCTAATCGCCATCTCCCTCGTGCGGTCTATGTGTGCATATCAACAGTGTCTGATGGAAGAAAGTATACCCCAGCTGAACGTGTCATCAGTCATCAAAAAGATGAAGATTTATGGGGGACCATGTTTGTTTATAAAGAACCTTACTTAATCAGGTTCTGAAACTTTTTTTTAATTTTGCAGATAAAGTTGAATGATTTAGACAGTCAATGACAACTCTTTATTGAAGACCGTCTGTATTTGTAACATCATTCTGGGTAATAGGTACTGAGACATTTGAAGAGCAGGCACTGCAGCTGCTGGGAAGGCTGTCATTCTTCTCATTCATCTTCTAGATGATTTATATACGCCTAGTAATCTTAGGGACATTATTGGCCAACTTCAGTGGCAGTCCATTTAAACTAGTGATTAGAGGTGAAATGCATTTGGGGCCCAATTGGTACATTGCAAGCCTTGTTGCAGTCATTTGGTCACTAGGAGTTGCATGGCTTCGATTCAGGAACAAGCTGCTTGTTCTGGGGTCTTGAGGGCGGTCGGTTCTGTGTTTAGCTTGAGAGGCAAGTACTTTGCAATACTCGGTGACTAGTTCAGTGTTGAAACTTAACAGGAGATTAATACACTGAAGCAGCTCATAGAGTGTTTTGACAAAGAGGGGAATGAAAAATAGCTTCCTTTCACCTTATATTTCATTTTTCACATTGTCACCACTTGGGATCAAACTTGGGTTTCAGAAGGGTGACAGCACTCCCTAGCTTACAAATCTTTGGTAGCTTTCCAGCGTTTACAGGATTAAAAATGTTTATACTCAGTATTGAATCATTCTGGGTCTTGTGTAATTGGGCTCTTGCAGTTTTTTCTGATGTCAAGAAGGAGAAAACTAACATAAAAACAAAAGTTGTAGCTGTATGTGCACAGAATTTATCATGCTCCTCAAATCTGCCATACTTTTTCTCCTCTCCCCTCCTCTCCTTGGTGAAGCTGTTACCCTTACTTAGAATGTTCTTTCATCACAAGAAAATTCCAGATCTTTGTGCAAGACTCAGTTCAAATGTCATAGCCTCTGTGAAGCCACCTTTAATTTTTTGTCAGGCACTGGGACCTCCTATCACATCCTTTTACAGCACCTCTAATTTTATGTGTCCTTGTTTGTATCTTCTGGACTCTTAAGCCTGCACTTAGCAAACTTTTTATGCAAGAGGTCAGATAGTAAAGCTTCAGGCTTAGTGGGTCATATGGTTGTGTTGGAATCACTCAGCTCTGCCATTGTGGTCAGAAAGCAGCCGTAGACAATATGTAAACGAGTGAGGGTGGCTATGTTCCCGTAAAACTTTATTTGTAAAAGTTTGGTGGGTCGGAAATTGCCTGGGAACCGTAGTTTGCCAGCCCTTGCTATGATGTCTTGAGGGTACAGACTGAGTCCTCTTACTGTCCTTTCATCTCTGGGCTACCCTCAGTAGGCTCTCCGTAAATGTTTGGTGAAAGAATAAATGTCAATACCTAATGGCAAAAGTAGACAACCAAACTGGTTATAGAAAGGTGATAAAGTACTTACTTATTTGTTCACTTCAAGGTTGTTTAAACCGAGACCACTGGTTTTAAAATTAATGTAGGTCTATTTGAAAAAAGATGCATAAAAACAAAATTGGAAGGAAAGGACACATTTTATTTTTATTTATTTATTTATGTTTTATTTATTTCTGAGAGAGAGACAGACAGACAGACAGACAGACAGCGTGATCAGGAGAGGGTCAGAGAGAGAGGGAGACACAGAATCTGAAGCAGGCTCTAGGCTCTGATGCTAGTTGTCAGCACAGCCCGACGCAGGGCTCAAACCCACGAACTGCGAGATCATGACCTGAGCCAAAGTCGGACGCTCAACCGACTGAGCCACCCAGGCGCCCCGGAAAGGACACGTTTTAATGATTTATATCGGAAGGAAAGAAATGATTATCTTTCTAAGGAAGAAAGTGTGAAATTAAAAATCATGCCGTTAAAGGAATTAAAGTAGATGTGTTAATAAAATGGCAGAATCTCTTCCTATGACTCAAATATAATGTGCTTTTTTCTGTTTCATCTTTTCTAATTTAAAAAATATTTATTCCCTCATTTGATTGTCAGAAAGTGATTGGGCACGTAGCATTTGGCTGTTACTGATAAGAACGTGTCATATGCTTCAGATGTGCTAGCGGTGGGGAAAGGTGGAGAGCCACAGGACCCAGAACTTGTGCAGCTAAGAAAAACTTCTTATTTTTTTTCTAGATTGATTTGGAATCAAATCCACAGAACAGAAGTCCTGAGTCTCGTCCTGGTGTTGTTTATCCCAATACCAAATTTCATCGCAAAGATAATCTCAACCCAAGACATATAAACCTTCCCCTCCCTGCTCCCCACGCACAGTATGCAATCCCCAGCCGTCATTTCCACCCCCTCCCCCAGCTGCCCAGACCACCGTTTCCAATCCCGCAGCAGCACGCCTTGTTGAGTCAACAGCAGAATAATTTGCCTGAACAACCAAATCCATTGCCGCCCCAACCAAATCAGGTGGTCCCGCCACAGAATCCTTTGAATCAGCTGACTCAGCAGCCACCTCCGCAGCTTTCTCCAGCCTATCAGGCGGGCCCTGCCGGTGCGTTCTTTAACAGTGCAGTGTCCCACCGACCGCAGTCCCCTCCCCCAGAGCCGTCTGTTCCTGAGCAGCCGCCCCCGCCCATGCTGCCCGAAGGCCACAGCCCTCTGCGGGCCATTGCCCAGCCCGGCCCCCTCCTTCCTTCACATCTGAATAACTTCACTGATGAGAACCCCCCAGGATTGCCAATTGGGGAGGCTTTGGGTAAGTTCTCCTGTCACAGCTGGATATGACAGATTCAGAGATGATTTCCTTTTTTTATTATTATTTTTTAACGTTTATTTATTACTGAGACAGAGAGAGACAGAGCATGAGCAGGGGAGGGACAGAGAGAGGGGGAGACACAGAATCTGAAGCAGGCTCCAGGCTCTGAGCTGTCAGCACAGAGCTTGGTGCAGGGCTCGAACTCACGAACCCCACGATCATGACCTGAGCCAAAGTAGGATGCTTAACTGACTGAGTCACCCAGGGGCCCCAGTTATTTTCTTAAGTTGACATGTACTGTGCAGTGTCATATACGGGTCAGGCTCGATTCATTTCTTCAAATAATGGCAGCAAAAATCAGTCACTTAGTGTAACAGAATCTTGTTCCAAACGCTCTGTAATATTAAGTATCCAGTTGATGCCACGTTACGTGATTATATAGGAATAGCCATCACCACCGTTGCTGTAACTTTAGTTCCTGGCAAATTTAGAAGCCATTTGCTTTCTCCAGAGCCCAAATTGTAGGCATTTCTTTGTGAAGAAAATCTGGGTTGCAAAAACTCTTGAAAACAATTCGCCCGAGGGGCCCCTGGGTGGCTTAGTCGGTTAAGTGTCCGGCTTTCGCTTGGGTCATGATCTCGCGGTTCGTGGGTTCGAGCCCCACGTTGGGCTCTGTGCTGACTGCCAACTCAGAGCCTGGAGCCTGTTTCAGAGTCCGTATCTCCCTCTCTCTCTGACCCTCCCCTGCTCACGCTGTCTCTCTCTCTCCTAGAAATAAATAAAAATATTTAAAAAAAAAAAAAGAAAAGAAAACAATTCACCCGAAACCCCAAATGCATGAAAACTGAAAAGTTTCCCACATCTTTTGCAGATCGCATGCATGGGGGTGTGGCTCTGGAAACACTGAGGCAGCAGCAGGTGCGGCTGCAGCAGTGGAACGAGCATCACGCCTATCTCAGTCAGGGCAGTGTTCCGTACCCACACCACCACCACCCACACCCTCCCCTCCAGCACCTTCCTCAGCCGCCCATCGGGTTACATCAGCCGCCAGCGAGAGCAGACTGGAAGCTGCCAGGCGCTGCCGAGGACGGAGCAGAAGCCCCCGATGCCAGGTATCTCTGCGGACACAGATACAGACACGGATACCGCTGCGGTGGGACCGCCCCCGCCCCCCACCCACTGTTTCCTGTCTTGGGTGTCACCCTTTTAGCCTCAGGTTGCAGGATTGTCCCACAGAAATTGGAGGCTGGCCTTCTAGACACATGCTGCACCCGGCTGTGGAATCTGGAATCTAGAGAATCCATTTAGAAGTGACTTTTGTGCACATCTGGGTGTGGACTGTCTGTTGTGGATTGAAAACTAATGTGGCCCGTACTCTGTGGCTCTCCTGAAAAAGAAATGTTCCATCACTGTGAGCATTTTTGTCATACTCGGTAGGAATACAAGAAATGAATGGACACAGAAGGGAATTAGTGGTGGAAAGTTAAAGTTTATAAATTTATCATTAGGTTCTTTTCTCTAGCCACACAGAATTCTACCTGCTTTTAACTACGGATGTTGATGCGTGTTCGGTTCTCATTCTAAATTTGTTTTTATGGCCAGTGTCATGCGGATGCAGTGACGTATTTCCTAATTACTCCAAATAAGGTCCACCATTATGGTGTCCTTTTATAACTAACTGCCAGTTATCGAAGACACATAGAGACAGGACAGTTGGCTTTAAGGCCAAGGGAAAGGAAAGGAATCAGATACTCGGGCATATTTAGTGTCTTTAATTCCACATCTATTGACTGTTAATGCTCACTTTTGAGATTAAATAATGTGAGTTTTAATGAAGTATTCTGATTTTGTCTGTAAAAATTAACCCGTGTAGTTGACTAAGCTCTCCCTGATGTGACGGAGCTTTTCTTTTCTTTTCCTCCTGTTTCGTCATCTTTATGTAGGTTTCAAGACTTAATCAGAGAACTGTCTAATCGTGATCAAAGTGAAACACGGGAACTAGCTGAAATGCCACCACCTCAATCAAGACTTTTGCAGTATAGACAAGTTCAGAGCAGGAGCCCGCCAGCAGCCCCGCCTCCCCCGTCTGGCACAGATCACAGTGGCCACTTTCCTAACTTTAATGACAACAGCAGAGACATTGAAGTAGCCAGCAACCCAGCATTTCCGCAGCGCCTGCCGCCCCAGATTTTCAGCTCGCCTTTCTCCTTGCCATCTGAACACCTTGCCCCCCCTCCCTTGAAGTACCTGGCACCCGAGGGGGCGTGGACTTTCGCTAACTTACAGCAGAATCACCTAATGGGGCCGGGCTTTCCCTACGGCCTACCTCCCTTGCCTCACAGGCCACCGCAAAACCCTTTTGTACAAATACAGAATCATCAACATGCTATTGGTCAAGAGCCATTTCACCCACTGTCGTCTCGAACAGTATCTTCTTCTTCGCTCCCTAGCTTAGAAGAGGTAAATGTCTTTCTTTTCCTTTTTTCCCTTTTGGGATTCAGTTTTTGTGGAAAATGCTGGTATTTCTTGATTTGACGAGAACGGCGGACAGATCTTATTGAATTTAATAGTCACTAAAGATCATCTTTTCTTGGAATTTGTTTTTAGTTTCCCCTCTTATGTGCTATTTCAGGCTTTGTAGAATGTCCATTATTGTTGAAACATGCCCTTAGAGCCTGTTCTTGCTGTTGGGGAACATGTAACGTCTGACTGACCTGAGGAGGCCCTTCCTTCAAGCAGCTTTGTTCTGCCTAATCTGGGGAAATGGTTTCTAGCAATTCGCCTTTTGACTTATGTTACAGTTGTCAGTTATGAATTTGTTAATGAAGCTTTCCACAGATGTTGGCTTTGGTGGCCCATGGCTGTGTCGCTCCTCCTGGTGCTTTTGTAGTCTGGGGCGGTCACGCAGCCCTTCTCACCCCTGGCACTAAGCGTATTACAGTAAACTAGATTTTTATCTTGAGTTACTTAGGTATTTCCAAAAAGACTCTCTGTGGACCTTCATGGATACAAAAATCTTGGTAATTTAAGGTTATAAAACTTAGAAAATGGTACCATCGGTGTAGACTATAAAAACGCTGTCGAGCTGTTCTCCTTAAGCTTGCGGTGATTAAAGATAAGAATGTATAAAGCTGGTTGTGGTCATTGTCAATCGCAGATATCTTCCTATTAAAATAGGATAAACATTTCCTATTTTAATATATGAAAAAAATATGTATTTTTGACAATAGCTTCATTTTGGCACTTCCTCGGTGATTAAAATTTTTTTTTAATTAAAAGATTTTTTTTAATGTTTTATTTATTTCTGAGAGAGAGAGAGAGAGAGAGAGACAGAATGAGCAGGGGAGGGTCAGAGAGAGAGGGAGACACAGAATCCGAAACAGGCTCCAGGCTCTGAGCTAGCTGTCAGCACAGAGCCTGATGCGGGGCTCAAACTGTGAGATCGAGCGGAAGTCAGACGCCTAACTGACTGAGACACCCAGGAGCCCCTCCCCCCCAATTTTTTTTAATGTTTATTTTTGAGAGAGAGAAAGAGAGAGAGAGAGAGAGAGAGCAGTAGTGGGGAGGGGTAGAGAGAGAGGGAGACACAGAATCTGAAGCAGGCTGTCAGCTGTCAGCACAGAGCCTGACATGGGGCTTTAACTCCCGAACGGAGAGATCATGACCTAAGTTGAAGTCGGATGCTTAACCGACTGAGCCATCCAGGCACCCCATCCTCAGTGACTTCTAAAGGCTTTGAAAATAATTCAGATGTTTTGAAAGTTTTTTGCTGTATATGCTGATCGTAAAGTTAAGTTTCATAGGCATGGTTCTATATCTTATTTGTAGAGTTTTGGACGTAATTTGTTCAAATTGATCCAGTATACTTTGATTGGCTTGTCCCATATAATAACTGTCATGAAAATAACTTAATTGCCATCTCAGGCTCCTAATATAAATGATGAGCATAAGATGAATTGGTATCTGTGTGTGTGTGTGTGTGTGTGTGTGTGTATAGTGAGGATCTAGAAATTTGGAACCATACTTTTAAAGAATTGACACATATCTGACATTATTTCAAATTATAATGGAAAGGCTTAACAACTGAGCAGTAATGTCATTTTCAGTTAAGTGATATTTTATATATTTACATATTTCTTTTTTTTAAGTTTATTTGTTTTGAGAGAGAGAAAGAGAGTAGGGGGAAGTTCAGGAAGAGAGGGAGAGAGGGAATCCCAAGCAGGAGCTGGATGTGGGGCTCAGACTCATGAACCTTGAGATGATGACCTGAGCCCAAGTTGGATGCTTAACTGACTGAGCCACCCAGGCACCCCTGTATTTATTTCTGATAAAATTCATATAACAAAAAATTCCCTTTTTAATAATTTCAAACTACAATTTAGTAGATTCTAATATATGTACAATACCGTGTAGCAGCCACCATTCTAATTCCAGCACATTGTCGTCACCCTGAGAGAAACCCCATAACCACTAAGTAGTTGCTCCCTAATCCCCTTTCCCCCTCCCCTTGCGTCCAGTCTCTAGTAACTAATAATCTACTTTCTGTCTCTATGGAGACATTTCATATAAGTGGAATCCTACAAAATGTGGCCTTTTGTGTTGGCTTCTTTCCTTTAGCATAATGTTTTTGAAGCTTGTGCAGTTTGTAGCATGTCAGTACTTTATTCCTTTTTATGGCTGAGTAATATTCCATTGTATGGCTGTGTCACCATTTGTTGATTTCTTCATCAACTGGTGGACATTTAGGGTTGTGTCCATTTATTTTGCTATTATGAATAATTCTGCCAGACAAGTTTTTGTGTGAAAGCATATTTTTTGTATGCTTTCGTACATTTCGTAATGTACCTAGAATTTCTGGGTCATCTAGCAACTCTCTTTGTGACTTTTTTGAGGAGCTACTGAACTGCTTTCCCCAGCGCCTGGTACTATTTTACATTCCCATTAGTGTTGTATGAGGGTTTCAATATCTCCTTTTTAAAAGAAAAAATTCTAGTCACTTAGTGGGTGTATAGTGGTATCTCTTTGCAGTTTTGCTATGCATTCCTCTAGTGACTAATGATGTTGAGCATTGCTTCATGTGGTTATTGGCCATTTGTTTGTCTTCTTTGGAGAAATGTCCATTCAGATCCTTTGCCTCCTTTGCAAAATGGTTGGTTGCCTTTTTGTTGTGCAGCTGTAAGAGTTTTTAAATACATTCTGGGGGTTCTTGGGTGGCTCAGTCAGTTAATTAAGCGTCTAACTCTTAATTTCAGCTCAGGTCATGATCTCAGTTCATGAGATCGAGACCTGGGTCAGGCTGTGCACTGACAGGGTAGAGCCTACTTGGGATTCTCTCTTTCCCTCTCTCTCTGCCCCACCCAGTCTTGTTCCTGCACGCACACAGTCTCTTTCTCTCTCTTTCACTCTCTCTCAAAATAAATAAACTTAAAAAGTTTTCAAGTATATTCTGGATACTGAGTTCTTATCACTTATATGATTTGCCATACTTTCTCCTTCTGTGGGCTGTCTTTTTACCTTAATAGTATCTTTGATGCATGAAAGTTTTTAATTTGGAAAAAGTCCTATTTTTCTGTTCACTGTTGTTGCTGTTGCTGTTACTGTGTTTTTGATGCCCTACCTAAGAAACTGTGGTCTAATCCAAGGTCATGGAGATTTACATCTGTTTATCTTAGTTTAAGAGTTTAGTTTTTACGTTGAATTCTTTGATCCATTTTGAGTTCAATTTTGTGTATTATATGAAGTGGTGTCAGATTCATTATTTTGCATGTGGTTATCCAGTTTTCTCAGCGCCGTTTGTTGAAAAGACTTCTTTCTCCAGTGAATGGTCTTGGCAACCTTGTCAAAACTCAATTGACCATAGACATACGGGATGACTTGCAGGCTTTCAATTCTGTTCATTACTGTCTGTCCTTGTGCTCTAGCACACTGTCTTGTATACACTGTATCTTTATAGTGAGTTGTGTATTTGGAAGTATGAATTTTGTACTTTGTTTTTCTTTTTCAAGATTGTTTTGGCTCTTCTAGGTCTCTGAATTCAATTTCTGCCAAAAAAAAAAAAATCAGCTGTGATTTTAAAAGGGATTGCTTTAGATCTGTAGATTAATTTGGGGATTATTGTTATTTTAACAGTATTAAGCCCTGTGGTCCTGAACATGGGATATCTTTCTAGCTATGTAGGTCCTCTAAAGTTTTTCTTCAACAGCATTTTGTAATTTTCCCAGTACAAGTCTCACACTTCTTTTGTTGAATTCATCCTGAAATATTTTATTCTTTCTCCTGCTGTTTCTTGTTTTGTTTGTTCATTTTTGGATTGTTTATTACTAGTGTATAGAAATATAATTAATTGTATACTGATTATGCATCTGCAAATTTGCTGGACTCTTAATTAGCTCTAATAGATTTTTTTTGTGGATACCTTGGTATTTTTTATATAGAAGAAAACACCATCTGTAAATATACTTTTGTTCTTCCTTTACAATCTGGATAGCTTTTCTTTTTTGTGTTTTATTTGTTTATTTTTTGAGAGGGGAAGCCGGAGAAAGTCAGAAAGGGGTGGGGGGTGGGGGAGGGGGACAGAAATCCCAAGCTGGCTCCACACTGTCAGTGCATACCCCAGTGTGGCTTGAACTCCCGAACTGCTAGATCGTGACCCGAGCCAAAACCAAGAGTCGTTCAACTGACTAAACCACCCAGGCGCCCCTGGATGCCTTTTATTTCTTTTTCTTGCCTAATTGCCCTGGCCAGAACCTCTAGTATAAAGTTTAGGGCGCATATTTGGCAAATTGAAGAAAAGCAAGTGTATCTAGGATGAGTTTTTAAATTTTCCTTATGTTTTTGATCTCTAATTCCATTCTATTGTGGTTAGAGAGTATACTTTGTCTAATTTTAACCTGTTAAAATTTACCGAGACTTGTTTTGTGGCCTAACATACGGTCTTTCCTGGAGAATGTTTCAAGTGCACTGGAGAAGCATGCATATTTTGTTCTTGTTGGGTGGAGTGTTAGGTCTGTTTGGATTATATTTTTGTTCAAATTGTTGGTTTCCTCGACATCTGTGTCTCGGTTTTATATCCCTTACCGAAGGCAGGGTATTGAGTGAAACCTCCCAACTATTAACGTTGAATCTTCTGTCTCTCCTTTTACTGCTGTCAGTTTCTGCTTTATGTACTTTGGGGCTCTGCTGGTAGGTTTATGGATATGGATAATTGTTACACCTTCTTGATGGACTGACCTTTCCACCAGTGTGTAACGTCCCTTTTCTCTGGTAACTGTTTCTGCCTTCAGGTGTGGTGTTTTCCTGACGTCTGTGCAGCCACCACGGCTCTGTCTTCATCACGGGCGGCACAGAACCTTCCCTTCTCCTCCTCCTGCTTTTTGATTTTGTTGTCATTTGTTTAGTGACGTTTCTCATTTGCTAAAAAATATTTTTAAACTAATAAAAAATTATGAGTTAATTTTTTA